CCGAGGGAGAGGGTGATGGGAGAGATGTGCTCCACACTAAACGCTTTACTTTCCTCCCTTTGCCTTTTCATGAGTTCCGTCTCATGCGAGGTTTGGACGTGAGTTGATGAGCGACAGGTTTTAGTCGGTTCGACTACGACATGCCCCGCCCGCCATTCCCAGTGAAAGGCGGAAGCGATATCGTCCTGCCAAGAAAAAATTAATAAAAGGACATCTAAAGGGAATACAGAGAAATATAAATTATATTTCTCTGTATAATAATAATAATAAACATTAATTCCAAACATAAATTAGGTACAACAAATCTAAATAAAAACAAAATTTTTTTTACCAGGTTTGGAAAAGCCTAACAGTAACGAAACAATCGGTACTGCGGTCTCCGATCTCCGCATCGATATAATATCGATGGATCTCCGAGACACAAATAAAATAAGATTGCATTCGATTTTTTTCTTGATTATTATGTAAATGATCTGAAGAACCAGCCTGGAGTTAGATGGTTACCAAAACTCCAAGCTTCCAGGATAGGAAAGCTTTACAATAGGTACAATTCATGCTTCAAGCTGCGGTCTCAGGTGTACTGGTACTCAGGATATGGAATCTACGTACTTCAATAATCGCTTGAGACCATGAGTCCATTCACCCCTCTGTGTAATAAAATAAAAAAAGATTAAACATTAGTGGACCATTTTAAACATCTTTAACCCGCAGACAAATCCTATATTTTTATCTATGTAGTTTTTATCAAATTTCAAATCACTAAGGTGCTAGAAAATTTTTCATAATTTTTTTTTTCATACCATAATTTATTGAATAACCTAAAGAATGACCAAGGATACTATGAAATAATAAAAGTCCAGACAACAACCCTGTTGGGGTTGGGGAAAGATTTTGCTGTACCTCATAAAATATCCTTATTATTGTGGTCATATTACAAAAGCGAAGAGCGGATGATAAAAATCGTAATTTTCACAATTTAAATTACAAGTATTGCTAGAACACAATTTTTATTTTATTTATTGGTTAGATGGGTGGACGAGCTCAGGGCCCACTTGGTGTTAAGTGGTTACCGGAGCCCATACACATATACGACATTAATGCCGCCACGCACCTTGAGATATGAGTTCTGTCTGAGTTTTTACAGTTCAACGGCTGCCTCACCCTTCAAACCGAAACGCATTACTGCTTCACGGCAGAGATAGTGCATGGTGGTACATACCCGTGCGGACTCGCAAGACATCCTACCACCGGTAAATAATGACAGGATGCTATTAATGAACATTCGTGTCATTCATTCAAAATAAGATAAATGCTAAGCCTCATAATTACAACTTCCTAAAATAATGATTATAAAGTATTAGTATCGGATATTGTTCAATGTTTTAAAACAGTAAATACAAATTGCGCAACGTAGGTAATGTTATCACTCGAAAGTGCGCAAGAGTCTCCTCGTGCTGGTTTTTTCTTACAAGATTTTCCATCTTTATTGCAGTTGTAAACAACAATATTATTATGTTTACTTGAATTTGTCACCGTTTGAAAAGTATTCATAGGTAAACAAGGTAATTATTGAAATAACCGCTGTATGTTCCTCAACTTAATACAATTACAATGTATTTTGATACACTATTAGATACATTGATCTAGTGTCGAACTTGTGTAGATCTGCTTTTTTTAAAATGATGGATTACTGTTAGCCCTGGCGTACTTACTGGAGGCCTTTCCAATTTCACCAGGACAGGTGTAGATCTAGTGTCTAGTGTCTACAGTATTTAGAGTGGCGAAAAGGTTATTTCAAAACGCACTGTGAATGATCGTAAAGATTCCTAGGCCTAAAACGCTCCGAAGGCGAGTGAGTCGAAAAAGTGTAAGGCGGTAAAAAGACGGCATCAACACAAACACCTACTGGGAGTAGGAAATTCTCACGGATCGTTTGGAGCCTCTGGGTCTGCGGAGGGACTTCGGTTCCCTTTGTATTTTGTACCGCATGTTCCATGGGGAGTGCTCTGAGGAATTGTTCGAGATGATACCAACGTCTCGTTTTTACCATCGCACCGCCCGCCACCGGAGTAGAGTTCATCCATACTACCTGGAGCCACTGCGGTCATCCACAGTGCGTTTCCAGAGATCTTTTTTGCCACGTACCATCCGGCTATGGAATGAGCTCCCCTCCACGGTGTTTCCCGAGCGCTATGACATGTCCTTCTTCAAACGAGGCTTGTGGAGAGTATTAAGCGGTAGGCAGCGGCTTGGCTCTGCCCTTGGCATTGCTGAAGTCCATGTGCGACGGTAACCACTCACCATCAGGTGGGCCGTATGCTCGTCTGCCTACAAAGGCAATAAAAAAAAAAAAAAAACATTAACAGCTCGCACGGGTAGATTTCACCGTATTGCCCTTTTCTGCAGTAAAGTAGCGAAGTTTTGGTTTGATGAGTGAGAAACACTTTATAAAATACAATTAAAACCGTCTCTCTCAAGAGAGGTAGAGGGTCAGGTGAGCTGAGTTGGTCCGCATGTCCGAACACACCACTTTGAGAAGGCGGCACGGCATGAGAACCCTCTTGTCGTGGCCGCTGGAAATTACATACCCGATCCTGTAGACCGAATGGTAAATAGTCGGTGTCGCCCAAAACACGTCATTATGGATCCTCCCGATCCATTAACGGTGCTTTTAGGTACGACAAGCACCGGTCACCGTCCTCGTGGAACCGAAACGAAGGGCTCCACGAGCGAATTAACCCATAGACACAGTCCACTGAGTTTCTCGCTGGATCTTCTCAGTGGGTCGCGTTTCCGATCCAGTGGTAGATTCTGCAAAGCACTGCTCTTGCTAGGGCCAGTGTTAGCAACACTCCGGTTTGAGCCCCGTAAGCTCACCTACATGTTAGGGCGAAGCTGAAATAACCTCTCAAGGCTATCGTCATAGGTAGGAAAAAAAAATGTCCGAACATTTAATTTTATAAAAAATATACATTTGTATTTAGTCTTAATACCGCCATCTATCTAAAAGTTATTGAACTAATATGCATTTCAGTGGCCAACATTTAAAACAGTTTATTTACGTCATTTTAAAGTCTGCATAATGTAAGGTTTCTTTTATGTGCTCATTTTTGACGTAAAACGAGTTTAACCATTGACTTCACGCCTAAAGACGCTAGTTTACCTACTCATGATAATAAAAAACAATCTTAATAACGCCGCAGCGGTGCTTTCAGTGGGGGCAGTCCGCGACAACAATTAAAACAAAAACGCTTTCATAGAATTCATATAATTAAAGATCTCTGTTCAATATCATATACATTTGTAAAAACTCTTTTATATTTACACATATCTCGTTCTAACGCGCGACATAGTGCGATCACAATATAAAAAATCTAAATAAAAGAAAATAAAATAAAAAAATAACTTCATCCACACACCTTGATCTTTTCACTACACATATACATATAATCATTTACAAATTATTTACAATTAAAATACTGTAATTGAGATGTATGTGTTATTATATGTTACAAATACACTTTTTATTATTTGATATAGTATTACTTGCAAGTATCAAAATAGTATAAAAAGTACATTGGAGATTTAAAAAAACTTGTACACCACCTAGTCAAATATAGCTTGGTTTTCACATTTGCCTAGTTCTTGAAAAATATACTGAGATATTTAAATACTTTTCACGATCCAAGAAGATTTGTGAGAAAACCAAATACCTGTGAAAGTAATCACAGAATTGACCTACTAAGTACTAATTATAATGATTTCAAAAAGAAACATTAATCACTTTTTACTAAAACCTTAAAGAGTAAATTAATTACAAAATTCATTGAAAATCATGGAAGTCTCCGCTATCAACTAGTTTCGGTTTTAGAAATTGAATATCGCTTGAAGAATATCAGTAAAGTCAGAACTCCGTAAAAATACTAAAGAAAAAAGTTGTAGAATTAGTCTCGGAAAACACACTGGTATTTAAACTCTTTTATAGTTAAATAAAACTTAATACGAATACCAATGTGGACTGTTGCCAATGGCAGATATATTTTATGTATGCATGTTGTGTGGCGATTGCCATCATACAACACAAGATATTTGACAGATGTCTAAATCTCGCTTACGACATCTTCAATATAAGCTTACATAATTATATAAAAGTCCCGAACAACAACATTCGTACCGTCGGCCTGCCGAGCAATATCACCCGCTCAATGGAAGATTTTCCCTTTGTCGTATACAGTAGATTGGGGGGAATAGAGACTAGAGTTAGAATAGGGACAAATCTGGGATGTCACAATACTCTTGTTGAGTTGTTAGATTTAACTTTGTTGAACTGAAAATTACTTTTATTTAGTTTTTAAAAATATTAAATAGTTTAATTTAGTCATCAAAGTTTTGCAACTCATTAAAGATATTAAAAAGTTAATTACCTAAAGTTAGATACCTACCTAACAACTAAATAGTGCCCAGCCCTATCGAAAAGCTCTATTGTCCTCATACGTAACCTGATTCACCCCAAAGCCAAGGTGATTCGGTTCAAGCTAGTTTTTTTTTAGTTTTTGTGTATATCTTGTATTGAACTATGTATAATAACGCATCGTATATAAAAATTTAAGCCTCTGGAACCATTATGATCTCAGTTTTATTACTAGATCTCCAAAAAAAAACTATAAAAATCAATGTCGAACTTAAAAAGTGTCCCGATTCCCCCCATTGTACAGTAAACTCCTAATGTCGTTTGGAAGACTTCGGGTTTTGAAGACACACTGCTTTACGGCTCGCGAGCCACTAACATTCTTTTACTTTCTACAATCATGTCTGGCACTATGCAAAAGTTCATTTTACAAGTTGCTTATAATACACTAAATTTTTTTAGATGTATTACACAAAAAAAAAACGATTAAGTAACTACACTGTACATTACGTGAAAATAATTCTATTAAAATATCATTTTATAATATTTTGTTACTTGCAATTATTCTCTTATATACATACATACATACATACATTTAAGACTCTTAATATAATTTTGTTGATTTAATGTACAACGGAATTCCCGTTACTTTATGGATTATTTAATGAATCGTTTTTTTTTTTTCAGTCATTTTGTAACTACACTATTTGTTTGACCTGTCGCCATCCCTAAATGGGAGGTATAGAGTTACATATATAATTAAAATAAATAATAAATGTTGGATTTTTATAAGTCAAATGCATTGTGAAAAAGCATTATTAAAAAAAAAAAAACATTCTGCATTTTCACTTCGTCAAAACACATTTTAGATATAAAAACCCTGTTAAACGTTATAAGTAATTGTTAAAGTAGTTGAGATTTATTTAATATGTTTAGATCAGAAATTTAATCATATTAATTAAAAAAAACATTCTGTTAATTAAAAAAACACTTTCACAGTTCAATACAGGCATAGCAGTAATCATGATTACAGAACATATGAGGTACTCGAAACATTAAAATTGGAAAATATTTTTTTTTTAGTAATATTTAAGTATTCTCCAAACAATGATTCTGGCTTTCATAACGGTATTTATAAACGAACCGATTTTAAGGGTAATTTCAATCTTGAAAATAGAATTTGTCGATCTGCTAAGTTCATTTAGAAATAAGAGTAAAAACTTTCAATAGATAACTTTTAATTTATGCATCTAGGCTATAGAATTATAATATATTTCATTAAATTAATATGTTTTTCAAGAAAATACTTAGGAACTACTTTTAGCGGTAGGCAGCGGCTTGGCTTTGCCCCTGGCATTGCTGAAGTCCATGGGCGACGGTAACCACTCACCATCAGGCGGGCCGTATGCTCGTCTGCCTACAAAGGCAATAAAAAAAATTTAAAAAAAATGCTGAACCAAAATTAAAGATACCAGCATATAATAAATTCAACACTTTTATACAAATATGTGATCCTCGTAAGCATATTATAATTACATTTCTGACCAAAACAAACTTTACAATCCATTGTCACGACAAGATGTAAAACTATAATACAATCATATATACAAATATCTAGCGTTTGTCCTAGTGTCCGCACACACAAACACACCCGTAACACTGCACGCAGCTTGTATCACAGCGCGTAACGCGTAACGCGTAACACCGCAACGATTACGACGCTCGTCGTTTTAACGTCACTTTACCGCGCGCTAACTGCGATATGTATATCCTTATTCGTTCCACATTCGTCTTCTTTACCCATATCTGAAAAACAGACATGAATTATGAATGAATTCTTAGTTTTTTTTAAGAGATTTAATGACCTTGTAACTGAGACCTTTAAGCCTATTATTATCTTTTTTTAATTTATATTCTTATTTTCATGAAAAATGATAATATGGAGTGAAATTAAATAAAATGAAATGAGATGATATGGGACGAAATATAATCTTGTTGTTGAGTTGCAGAGACCAAACTGCCACTCAAGGATTCAAGAAGAAAATTGAAGTCTAGTTGTGATATAGAACTCAAAGATTTCTTATATCATCGTCAATATTTTCAACAGTTTTCGCAGGTTCAAGAAAAAAAAAAACTAAAAATGTTTTTTCAGTAACTGAAAATACATACCGCCTCATCTGTAATGGCGTGGATGTGTCCGGGGAACTTGGGAAGGTCCCGCCCCTCGACGTAGACGCTCTGCCCGCGGTGGTACCAGCGCCTCTCGTACAACAGCTTGCCGTCTTCCACACGAGTGTCGCAGGTCTCGCTCTCCCGAATAGGGGAGTCGCCTGAGTACAAAATCCACATATTGACTGTGATATTGATGATACCATTTGTTTTTTTTTTTTTTTTCAAATATTTATCGACGCTTGAAAGGCAAACGTGACTAAGCGACAATGCGTGAACTTTACAGTAGACTAATTTAAAGTTGAAATACCTGAAAAAAATTCTATTTTAACAAATCTAGCTGTAGGATTGAAATGATTTTAATAGACCTAAAAATATATTTTTTTTGCGCATCGAATATGGTTATTGCCTATCATTTATGTACAAAGCAGTTATTGTCGCTTAGTCACGTTTGACTTTCAAGCGTCGATATGGTCTGGAAGCCATGAATTCATTTCGTTCAAACCGTACATTACTGTGGAAAACGGAACGTTTCGAGTGAAAGGGATGAATGTAGAAGGAAGAAAGGGACGGAAGGAAGATGGTCAAGATGGCGATCGGGCATAGTAAGAGTGTGAACGATTACGACATGTTATCCTAATAAATTTTGTTACTTTTCAAAAAAACTGCTATTTACTTTGAGCAAATACCACATTACTAATAAACTTATTAAGCCACACACCCTTCAAAATATTGCTATACAGGGTGTCCCAAAAGGTAACAATAAACTGGCATTGGAGGAAAGGCCTCGTATGATGAGCCAGTAAATAAAAATCACCTTACTACACACAGCAGTACTTGAGTACTAATAAACAGAGCGAATTTTCGACATTATGACTAGAATTCTGAATTATTTGTAGGTTTTAATGCCGTATTGTCCTGGCAAGAAGCCAAACTAGTTGTTGCCAAATCAAACAGTTCATTGATTTTAATGAAGAGCTGACTGATATTATGATGCGCCTATACAACAAAATCCCACAAGATGTTCAGAACCTACATATACATAGGTTTAAGAAAACTATTCAAGAACATCTGTGCAATAAAGCTTACTATAAAGTCAATGATTATCTAGAAGATTGCACAAAGTGAGAATGAGTTGCTCGCTCCGGCATTTCAATATTGCAATAATTGCTACGTTATAATACTCATTGTAAAAATGAATATTTAAAAAAAACGTAATATTAAAAAAAATAGTCATGCCTGCTGAGTTTCTTGCAAATTCTTTTCAGGATGGAGGTGTATGTACTTTCATTTATGTTGAATGTTTTTTTTTTGATTTGATTTGATTAGTGTGAGCTTACATGTACTGCCAGAGTTGAGATGTTTCCTGGGCTGCGCGGTGTTGTGCTGCACGGGATGCCTGGGCGGGGTGGTCCGCTGTATGGCGCGGAGGTCGGCCTCGATGTCGCGCTCGTCCAGCTGGAACGTGAGCGTGGTGGCCAGCGGCTTGCGGCGCTTCTCCGGCGCCGGGGCCGGCTCGTTGGCTCGCCTCCGTAATATTCTCTTCATTACCGGTTTCACCTGGGAAATAAGTACAATAAGTAAATACAGTAGAATACCTCTATAATGAGTATATTTATGTGTAGTGAGGAAAAGAGGGGTGTTTATTGACGTGTGATGGTATATTATGAGCAATTTAACATCAATGACTGGTCGTTTTATTCTTTATACATCTGCAATGTATCCGCAGACTGACAGATAAACTGATGCAAAGGACTGACATCCAGAGTTGTTCACCCAATAACAGTTACTGCATTGATTCAGAGTCAAAATCTTTATTCCAGTTATATAGTATGCAAGCCATTTTGGGGCATTATTTGTGACATTCTGGTAGATAATTATGTGCCAGTAGATTTGGATAGTGAATCTTCATTTTGTATTTAGTACAAAAAAGTTACATTTCATTCTGAGTGTATATATACAGTGTTGATATAATTCCTTATTACTGATGAAAGATCAATCAAGAGCTCTTACAATATTAGATTGAAAAAATTCTGCCGAATATCAAAATGTTAATAATGAAGTCTAAGCTGTCTTCAGGATTGTCCTGAAAACCAGAAGCTTATTTTCTATAGAGAGCTTTGAATTAGCTACTCTTGTTTTAATGTGAACTTTCTAAGTTTAAGTAAGTCTGTAATCTCATTTTATACTGAAGTACTAAACTTACTCATATGCATCTAAAAATAATATTTTATTACAACACACCTAGATTTAATATAGTCTACAAACTATATTTAATCTCGGTGATTACAATACAAGATTTGTATTGGCTTGTTCGTTTCCTTACATAAATTGATTGAAAATTAAGTTACCTCCATTGAATCACCATTCAATTCCATGCTGTGTCGTTCACTCTCAATCAGTTTCCTCTTGTCTTCAAAATCGGTGAGCAAGTTCTCGCGTAACTCAACCTTCTTCTCTTCAAATTCTTTAGCTGCAGCTTTTTTTTCGGCGACATACTCCCTGTCTACCACTTCATACATATGGTCTCTGGAAAAGGTTACTTTTATTATTATCAATAACAAATTTTTATTTACATTATAATGATTTAAATTGTTTTTTATTCCTTTTTTCCGGTGTCCACTGCTACAGTTGTAAATCCTATGTAGCCAGACATAACTAAACATACTGACTCGGCTCTGACTTCACAGAACATAATCTTCATGGTACAAATATCAAATTGAATTTTAAAGTTAAAGCCTTTCTAAAGTGTCATTAGAACTTATGTACAACCAAATAAAGCATACTTTACTTTTTAAATTGTACCTACCACTTCGCACTCCAAATTTCAGGCTCTGACCCTATATAATCTATATGCAATAGAGGTATACTTACTTGTATATTCTGTTCAATCGTAACCTCTCTTGTAACTGATGTTCTAACCTCTTCACCCGACGCAAGAACTCAGGATGGAGGCTGTCTTCCAATTGCTGCAGTTGCTTCTTGAAATTGGCAAGTTTATCTTGATATATTCTGCAATAATAGTTTAGTTTTAAATTATATAAGGCAAAAAGTACTAAGAAAGATTGATAGTAGTATTTGTTTTTTTAACATTGCAGTTAATTGACTCATTCCCACTGGACCTCAATTACTTATAATGTTGAAGCATTTTTTAATTAGTCCTATCACACAATGGAGTTCAGTTGCATCATATTGCAAACACAATATTTTGTTTTCATTAGATGGTTATACATTACAATACATATCAAACTATTTTCTTCTTTGAATTCTATTATTTTTAAGCACCAGAATTCTGAACCTCAAATGTTTCTTTTAAGTATCTTTGATTTTTCTGTGATATTTCATCAGTGCATGAACTATATTTGTGCAGAAAGACATTTGGGCTCTGTTCCTGTTTTGTTTAGATAATAATGCTTTTGCTTTTTGCCTCATTCTAAATTAATTTACAAAGATTGATTAAGGAAGCTTATTTCAAAAGAATAATTATTATTTTACATACTGTTCTTTAACTTCCAGAGGTTCATTGTTGTTCGGTAGTTCTGCCTCGCTTGCCTCTTCTGTATCTGAAAAAGTTTACATTGCAACACTTTTTCTATAATGTAATAACACCTTTTTTTTAAAATAGCTTCATTATATTTTTAAACCTAGTGTTACAAAGGAAAAAGTATTTTCAAGCAATGTATCATATATAATATCAAAATATTCCTAGTTGTGTTTCACAGAAACAACTCAAGAATACAAGCATAATTTCATTCAGTATGATTATACTAGAGAAAAAAAAAGTACACTTATTCATCTATTATTTCAAATAATTTTGCTTATTAAGGATTAACTTTTTGCATTAGTGTGGCATTGAATTTGTTTTGTTTTTGTGCTAAACTATATCTATTGCATACTAACAAAACAATCAGCTAGGCATATTTGGGTACATGTAAAGTTAGTAAAATTGTGTACATTTTTTTTATTTTTTTTTAAATTTGTACCCACGTAGAAGAATCATCGAAAGGTAACCACCAGTTTATAGGATTACTCTTTATGTGTTACTAAGTGAGAAGTTTTTTTTTAAAATATAATAGGTAATTAAATATAATGTTAATATGTATATTAAATGGTGAAAGTATTTAAATTACGTCATCAAGAAGGTTGTCCGAGAAATAGGCGGGAACATTCACTGAGTCGCAAACATGAAAGCAAATAACCTTGTTTTGATTACGTAACCTCTGTTTACATGTCAAATTTGAAAAGATATTGAGGTTATAGTTATTTTTTGTGGAATAATGTACAAATTAAGCGTTATAGATGCTGGTAAATTAACATCGTAAACAAACCTTCGTCGCTGTCTAACACTGGTGCAGGAGGTGGCACGGTTTCTTCTCGGTCTCTGAAGTCGTCTAAATCGTCGTACCCATCGTCTTCAAAATCGTATTCATCCCCCGGGCCGGAATATGGTGATCCTTGGTAAGACATAGTCGAGGCGACGCGTAACAGTTGCATACAGATTGAATGCAATCACCGCTTCACAAATAAATTTATGCGCTCTTGTAACGTCGAGCTAGACACGGGCACCAAAAGGCTGAAGCCAGTTGTGTCACTCATATAAAGAATTCGGCATAAAAACTTCTTATATAGAAGAAACGAAACTGGAACAAGTTCTGATTGAAGCAGAAAGATGTTTTACTTTTACGTCAAAGTGGACTAAAACTAAAAAATAATTTAACCGACTTATTTGTATAACATTAAGTCATTTCAAAAACTCAATTTTGTTAGATAGTCATATACAATTGTTACTTAGTGTAAGTGAAAGGTCCGATTTTTTTTTGATCATTCGAGTCTTTGGAATTTAGATTCTTTATATGGGGTACCATAAACAATTATGCTAAAATTACACAATTCCAACCAAAGACAATGCTCTACTCGATTTGTTCAATGAGAAAGCAAAGGAAATATCGTCTATTTCATAAAAAAATTACATGAAAAATTTAATAGAACGAATTGTGAAAATGCAAGTTCAACTGCTGATTTATTATCACTCGCTACCAATGACCACCGATTCATCAAATTGCGATAGATAGGCTCAATTATAACCATGTCAACGATTTCTCTAGTGTGGGCTTGGCCAGTCACTTTCAAACAGCTTCTGTGGGACGTTTTTCTTCGTTGTTTCTTGTCGTGATATTTCAATAAGAAGAGCGTTCTGCAATTCGATCTTCTCCCCGCAAAATTTTGGCTGTACATTAAAATGGCTGCCGTGCAGATCACATTGGCTGCAATTTCCTACATCGCTCAATTCGTGGCGGGTTGTAGGAGATAGGTTAGGTAAATGGTTTAATTAAATGTCACCCCGATAACTGCTTTGCGGCAAAAATAGATAAAGTGTATTAGTACTTACCAGAGCGGGCTTACAATGCGTCCTAGTATCAATAATCACCCATATTACGTGTGTTAATTATTTGATAAGGAAGCCAGTTCACTCATGGCTACGTGCAGTACGTTTTCCATTGGAAAATTTTGAATCTGCCTACAGGATTTTAACATCCGCACGGATGTTTCAATCGATTAAAATATGCCGGGCGTTTTATCCTTTATATATGTCTACAAATCATTCTAGGCTTATTTTGGTATTTATTTCAAGAAATAAGAAATAAATATGATTTAGTTAAAATAGTTGATATCTGCCAATAAGAGAATACTGAGTACATACCTTTGATAATTTTTAATTTTGACAAAATATCTTCATTATTCAATTTGCAATTTACATTTTTTTTATCAAAGGATGTTGTCATGTTACGTTAAAATGCTTTTCATTAAATTTATTAGATCCTGTAAACTTTTGGAGCCTTGGTATATTGTTCGTGCATTCTTTTACAATATCAGTATTGAAGAGGGAAGCAGCTACTTAACGGACGGTGGCATGACATTTAAAACTTAACCAAGTACCTACCTACCTGGGCAGAAATCGAAAAAAATGTCATGAGATTGTCTATTGTTGTGATACGACGTCACGGTGGAGGACGTCATCTTGCACAAGAAAATTATTTTATTATTTATTTTGTTACAAAGCACGTAACATTACCCGACTTACCCGTTTTCTTGTGTTTTTTTTATTTTAAAACATTTCTTAAATTTTGTTGTGAATTTAAATTTCAATAACTAGTTTGTCATGTTGAAAGTGTTTGAAGGTGACGCTTCACGCTATTGTGCGGTGATGTAATTTAAACGATTAGGTGGCTTCGCAGTCATAGGCAGTGCAATGGAGGAATCCTCTTTCACGATCCCAGCCGATGACAACGGCGATACNTCTTGTGTTTTTTTTATTTTAAAACATTTCTTAAATTTTGTTGTGAATTTAAATTTCAATAACTAGTTTGTCATGTTGAAAGTGTTTGAAGGTGACGCTTCACGCTATTGTGCGGTGATGTAATTTAAACGATTAGGTGGCTTCGCAGTCATAGGCAGTGCAATGGAGGAATCCTCTTTCACGATCCCAGCCGATGACAACGGCGATACTGAGCTCGACCCTAGGATCCAGGTCAGTGCGTGACAATATAATGTTCTGAGTTGTAACGGTAGCATCTCGCAACTGCAAACATGAGTGTTAACTTTGTAGATTATTTCGCCAACGAGCATAATGGATATGATATATTATATCAAAACATGAAATACGGACTTATAGCAAGTAAAGAGCTCTCCGAATATCTAAGGGAAAGGTCCAATATTGAGGAGACTAATTCAAAATCATTAGCTAAACTAGCAAAACAAGCGAACGGTAACTGCGCACAGGGTACATTCGCGCCCTTCTGGAGCGTTCTCAAATGCTCAGCTGAGAAACTATCTAATTTACATCAGCACATGTTCCAGAAGGTGGGTGAATTGGTCAAAGATGTGGCGAGATATGCTGATGAATTACATAAAAAACATAAGGCTGTCAAAGACTCTGAATCTAGTACTTTAGAAGTAGTATTACTGATACAAAATACTAAACAGGCACTTCAGAAAGCAAAAGATGTCTATACTACAAAATCTGCTGAATTTGAAAAACTCCGAAAGGATAATGCATCTGCTAAAGACCTCGAAAAGGCTGAGGTTAAATTGAAGAAATTACATGAAGACTATTGGCAGCTTGCTGAAAAGTATAATCTTGTAAAACAAGATTTTGAAAAGAAAATGTCTCAAACATGTAAGCACTTTCAAGATGTGGAGGAGGCACACTTAAAACAAATGAAACAGTTTGTTAATGTTTATGCTGATATAATTCAAAACAATCACGATATGATGGGACAGGTGCATCGGGACTTTAAGCACCAGTGTCTAGAGTTGACTGTTGAAAAACTATTAGAACAGTTCTTGATAGAAAAATATACTTCCATAGAAAAAGCAGTTCTCGTTGAGCTGCCCCCAACTTTACCAAAACCCGGTTCAGCTAACAACTCTATATCAGAAGCCGATCAGATATCTACAGTCTCTAATGGCTCTCACAAACCTACGCAGCCAGGAAAAGCTCCCAAAAAAGAGCCATCTTTTGCTACTAAAACATCAAGGAGGACTACTTCACTCCTTAATTTATTCACTCCCAATTTCCAAAGCAAAGATGAACCCACTGTCAACATTGAAGGTGCTGCACCATGCTCTGCCCCTTCCAGCCCAAGTGGAACTCCAGCTATTCCGGTAGCTCCAGATAAAGAGGACAACATGGGTCGAACCACCTTGCGGGAGTCCAAATGGTTCTTACGTAGCAAAAGAACTAAGCCAAAACAAAAAAAATCTAAAAAGAAAAAGGATGATAACTCTATGAACTCAACAGCTGACAAGTCTGATTTTGAGGAAAAACAAGAGGAAACGCCAATTAAGGAGGATCTGATAAATTCACCTGAAGTAGATGAGGAGGGTTTTTGTATAAGACCAAAAGAAGAGAAAGGCAGTGTATACTCTTCTAGTGATTCTGACTCTGAAGAGGAAAGGGAGCAGAAAATTCATGTTGAGATTAAACCTATAACCAATGGTAGTGCTCCAATGTCTGCTAGTGTAGATGAGCTCAGAGCTACCGTAGAAAATATCTCCTTGTACAAAATTGGCACAACACGTCGGGGTTCTAATGTGAATACAAGCAAAGCAAGCAATGACCTAGTTGGCCTGGACTTCTTCCCGAGCCCAACTGTCAGTAATCCCACATCACCTCAAGCTAATGTGTCTAATCCTTATGCACCTTTACAAGGAAATCAGTCACATGTGTTTGAGAGTCCCACACCCATTTCTAATACTGAAGTTGGTGATTTATTCTCAGAAGTAGGTGAAATGAGTCAATCCAATATTCGGACATCCACCCCAACAATATCTACTATTTCTCTCCCACGTCCACCATCAAGAAGGTCTGATGGAGAATTTCGAACTGCAGGTTCTACAGGCTCCCGTGGTCCTTCCCCACTTACAATCGGCATGGCAGATACTATACCTTTGGCAGTAGCGTTCCATGAAATAATTCATTCATATTTCCGTGGTACAGAAGAATCAAAATGTCAAGTAAAGATGTCTGGAGACATGATGCTTTCTTTCCCCACTGGAATTGTTGGTGTGCTTGCTAACAATCCAAACCCTGCAAAACTTTGTTTTAGACTAAAAAACATACATAGATTAGAAACAGTACTTCCAAATAAACAGTTGGTTACCATCAATCAATCAACATCTACACGTGATACCACTGTTGTAGATTTCAATATGCCTGCTTTAACCTCATTATTGAAGCGACAGTCAGAAAAAAATCCCACCGCACAGTACTTCAATGTAGATATATTAAAATATCAGATAAGACCAAAAACTGGAGCATCCTCATGCCCATTTCAGCTGGTTTCTTATTGGAAATGTGAGAAGGACCACACAGATCTGAAAGTAGATTATAAGTACAATATGCATGCAATGAGTCCTCCATCACCACTTTTGAATGTGTCTGTGTGTGTTCCTGTGAATGGCTCTGTTAAAAATGTAATTGCAATGCCTAAAAACATTTGGAATGAAGAAACTGAACAAGCGTTATGGCGTTTTACCGAGTTGTCGCAACATTCAGAGGATCGTGGCGTAGGATCGCTGCGGGCGCGCTTCGAGCTGAACAAGGGACCCTCTAGCAAGGCCACTCTCTCATCTCAGTTTAATTGCGAAGGCGCCACCCTCTCTGGGATAGAGTTTGAACTGATTGGTGGTGGGTACCGCTTGTCTCTCGTGAAACGTCGCTTCGTGTCTGGGAAATATATTTGTGATAGCGAAATGAACTAATTGGTCCAATTTCGACATGAGCGTGTGCTTTTGTATATGTAATTCTCGTTGTCATATATCCACGTGTGTATGAGTTATGTAGATCTTTAATTTAAAGAACTTTGGTTTTTGGTACCTTATAGGACTTGTTTCCTGTCCAAAATGAGTTACATACGTATCATAAAATGAAATATGTCAATTTTTCGATGTAAAATAATTAATTTGTAAAGTCAATGTTGTATTACTTGTATCTGTGTGAGAATGACATGTTACATTGGAGCAGGTACTACCAAATTATCAAATAGCGATTGTGCCATTGTATAAAATATACCTATTAAAAGTAAAGTTTACACTATGTATTAATTTATTGTTTCTTGCACATGAAATGTCCATGTCCATCCATGAAAAATTTTAAATCTGAAATTTTATCATTCAATTCAAATTTACATCAATTAAATTAGCAGATTCACAAATGCAGAACAGTTTGCTTCCAGATTTTGCTTAAAAATAGCTAGAATGTAGATAGTCATTCTAGCAATTGTTAAACAGTGATAATTTTAAAACAAACCCCAAAAGGTGACAGCTTTAAAGCATTAACTTAAGCCAATATTAACAATATAAAATATAGTAAGTAATAATAAAGTATATAATAGTTTTCCTTAAATATAAAATTTTAATGTAATACTTACTATTTTTATGAGCATAAATTTATTTGATACCCTTAAATATTTATTCACTCACTCATTATTATTGATTAATTAATTATTATTGTACTGTATAATGTTATTTACATATAGTCTAATAATGTACTTTATTTATGGTCTATTGTTTCAATAATTCAAAGGCCACAAATTTTATAAGTCAATTTTTCTAATAAGGATTTGAAGTTATGATTAAACATAGTACAACATGTTTTTGGTTGATAATTGTAATTTTTGTTAATAATATATATTCTTTAAATGGAATAGTTTCTTTTTTTTAGATTTGAGTATTTTTAACTGATGTTTTTTGACTGTAAAACTTCAAAATATTTACTCATTTTATGATTCACTGAATCTCTTTTTTTATTTTTATATCATCAGACAGTCACATAATGTGATTATATACTGCATTTAATGTTTGTTTTTTTTATTTATTTCACAGTACATTTGTTTTTGTAATCTTCACTTCTCATGCAAATTATCATGATATCTCATGTTGAAGATTACTCTCGTGTCTTGTTATATCGACAGTAATTCACATTTTGTTTAAAATTGTGTTGTTTATTACTATGTACAGTTTCTTCATATAAATTTTGGTTTGAAAAAAAAAAAACAAAGAAAGCAATAAAAATAATATTTCTTATGTTTGTATTGAGAAAAACATAGATAATAAAGTCAGTTTTAATTAGTGCGTGACAAAAAAAAATCAAAATAAAAGTCTCCAAAGGATTTTGTTTTAAACTAGCTTCCGACAGTAATGCTATGATCATTTCTTCTACTTAACGATCACTTTTGCAAAGCCAATCGTAATTCAAGAGCCAACTCTAGTACCTTAAATAAAGTAAATCATTCCATTTTTTTTTCTTAATCTCTTTAAACTATTTAATTTAAGTATTATTTAGTTTGGTTACACTTTTTTTTAATTTATGATTTTTAATTTTTAACATGTACCACTTCTTAAAAGATCTTCACATAAAATTCTTATGAAAAATGTAATTATTACACTCGAGAAAAAAAAAACCTTATGAACGACAGACTATTATTCTAAATAATAATAATAATTATAATGTTATGAGATTCAATAGCAAAAATTGTATAATGAAATTTAATTGTAAAGAAAGCTAATTTCGAGACGCATGAAAAATTATTTTTGTATCGATAAATTTATGGCATGTATCATTAACTATAAAATGTAATAACTTGTACCTATGTTTCGTAATTGGAATAAAAAGTTATGAAAATGTAAATTTTAGAAGTTTTTTTTTCATAATTATCTTTTAGTCAATATAAAAACGGAAGAACGAAGTAAGTAAAATCTTTTAACTTATTGCTTCGTCAATATGTTAGGGACAGGAAACGATCCTAATAAGGTACTCTTAGATAAAATTATCGATTTTATGTTATCGACAGTTAGATAAAGATTTTCTTGTGCGCTGATATTTTAGTATGTTACGGATGTTTCCCGTCTCTACATGTAGTTTGCTGTTGCCGTACGTTTGGGAATACAATGTTTGTGTTCCGTGCGATTGTCTAAAGTTGTTTACGAATTTTCAGGTCGAACTCGAGAAGTTGAACGCCGCCACCGACGAAATTAACAAACTCGAACTGGAGCTTGATGTGAGTGTGTGTCACGTTATTTTATAAAGTCTCTCTTCTTCTACCGGTGTCTACCCAATGCTGAATGTAGGTCTCTTCAAATGCATTCCATTCTTTTCGGTCTCTTCCCTTTCGCATCCGGTCCCTGCCAGCTATTTTGACCAGGTCGTCGGTCCACCTCATTGGTGGTCTCCTCAAACTACAACGTCCAGTACGAGGTCTCCACTCGAGTACTTTTATTTTAATTAAGACTAATGGTGCCAAAATGAAACCTAATTGATAAAAGACTGTCTATCTCTGTCGCGGAGCAGTCATGCGTTTCAGGAACAGGAATCCTAATACCAACACATACGCCATAGATTCAGTAGTTAATAATTAGCTGACGTAAAGAGCCGTCAAAACCTATTCACGTAATTGGAACACAATTATCTCTATTAGCACATACGTTTACCACTCATATACCTACAACTCATTGCTATATTATGTTATGTATTTGTTGTATGATCATTGTGTAATGGTCTGAGGCAGAGGTTTTTTTTTAAATTGCAAATGAAAATGGTAGTAGTGCCTACCATAGGGACACTGGCAATACTTTTTTTATATTTCCTTATACTTTCCCGTGGCAATACCGTGCTTTAATCCTTAATTGAAGAAATAAAGGTCTACCAGCCTTAAGCTACTCTTAAGCTAGAACTGTCTAGATTTAGCAGTGTACGACAAAGTCCGTAAATTCAGACTTGGATCAGTGGTAATAATCATAAAATGTAGATGTAAACATTTTCGGTATTTATGAGGAAATAAATGCGCATTAGTTCCGACGAACGTAATAACGTCAATGGATATCAAAATGGAAATGAAACGAAACACCGTAAATCGCAGAGAATAATCGAAATAACTATGAATTTTAATAAATCCTGAAAATAAGTTAATTTCAAAAACAATCATGCTAATTTCTCTTAACGCTCTTTTAAGGTATTTAATTATAAACACGAATGACAGTAAAACAAGTTGTTACGCTTATGTTGGAAGTCGAAAATAGCCTTTTACTAGCTTTTTATCACTGGTGGTAGGACCTCTTGGGAGTCCGCACGGGTAGGTACCACCACCCCGCCTATTTCCGCCGTGAAGCAGTAATGCGTTTCGGTCCGAAGGGTGCGGTAGCCGTTGTAACTATACCTGAGATCTTAGAACTTAATCTCGAGGTGGGTGGCGCATTTACGTTGTAGATGTCTATGGGCTCCAGTAACCACTTAACACCAGGTGGGCTGTGAGCTCGTCCATCCATCTAAGCAATAAAAAATAAAAAAAAATTTATGCATCCACTTCGGCACGATCTAGTGTACGTGATAATATTAACCCTTTCAACTCGAGAGGTGAGTCTTCCTTACCACATTATGTAATACCTAAACACGAGAGATGATTCTCTGCCCATAGACACAGCCTACTGCGTTTCTCGCCGGATCTTCTCAGTGGGTCGCGATTCCGATCCGGAGGCTCTGCGAAGCACTGCTCTTGCTAGGGCTAGTGTTAGCAAATTCTCTCAGCTTAGGCCCGTGAGCTCACCTACCCATCCAGGCATCGCTGGTATAGCCTGTTAAGCTACCAGCGGATAGGTAGGAAAAAGAAAGGATGATTCTCGCTCACCACTGTGTTTAATGCGAAAATTCGATGCGCCATGTAAACTATTTAAGTTAGTTTATATTAATACGTGAAGCAAAAACTTTGTACCCGTTTTTACGAAAATTGCGCGGACGGAGGATTATGAAATTTCCCACACTTATCGAGAATATAGAGAAGGAGTGCAGAATGCTAATATTTCTTTAAAATTATGCATTAATAACACATTAAATCAATAAAAAAATCATTACACACACTACCATGTGCTTGAAACACACATACATAAGTACTCATTGTTTATTGTCAAACCTATGTTATTAAAGTCTGTGGTCAAATTGAGAATAGATTAATAATGTTTCTCTTTAATATTATTTGTTTATAGTGTGGTTTTGGCGAAATCTATGAATAAAGAAGTCTCAAGTCTTTGACAATAGAACCTTAATAATGTTCAAACTTACAATTTCAATTAATTATAGTCGAATTTCGACTACTGCGCGGACCACTAGTGTTAGTTTATTTGATGAAAAGATGTGAATTCTTGTTTGTGTTCTTGATATGGGTTCGTATCGTTTTTTTTGTCGTTTGTAATTAAATCATGCGGAGAGCGATACTCACCTCTCGCGTGCAAAGGGATAATGTTAGCGTCGATTCTGAGCAGTACTGACAATAAGATCCGATGTACCTACGTTCTGTGGCAGTCTAAAACCACGGATTCCACATTATCATTATGAGCAATTCCATGATTCCATATTATTAATATGAGCAATTCCATATTCCATATACAACTGATAAAATGTCTAACTATTATTATAGGGCAATAGTCTTATTTATCTCTCGTAATTCGTCTGAAACGTTTCAGATAACAATTCTTCCCGGACTTATCTATTTCGATAAATGTTTTATCTTATTTCGTTATCATTGTTACTCTTTACTGATTTCTCTATTTATTCTTAAATTTCTACGTAAATTATTTGTCTACCGTTTTGCAAAGGTCATATAAATGGAGGCCACATTTAAATTGAGAGGGGCGCGTGGCGGAACGTAATGTATCGTTATTCCTCATTATCTGAACAGCTAAAAAAATCCAGTAATCACTACATAGTATAAAACAAAGTCGCTTTCTCTGTCCCTATATCTGTCTGTCCCTATGTATGCTTAAATCTTTAAAACTACGCAACGGATTTTTATGCGGTTTTTTTTAAAAGATAGAGTGATTGAAGAGGAAGGTTTATATGTATAATAACATCCATTAAATAGTGGAGAAATCAATAATAAATTAGTTTCCGAAGCGAAGCGAGGGCGGGTCGCTAGTTGAAATATAAGACAAATTCGAATCGATACTCAGGTATATTAACATCTATAATACGATCCATCCGCGATTCTAAGGTTCAAATACACATCTATACATATAAATAAAATTGGAGTGTCTGTTTGTAATATTGAAATAACCGCTTTTGACTACATGTATATGAATATATGTACGGTACATACACCAAAATAAGGTTTTTTACATTTTTTGTCTGTCTGTCTGTTTGTTCCAGCTAATCTCTGGAACGGCGGGACCGATTTTGACGAGACTTTCACTGATAGGTAGCTGATGATATACGGAGTAACTTAGGCTTACTTTTTTTAGACTAGCTTCGCCCCGCGGCGTCATCCGCGGTACGACAATAATAATCAACAACAATAACAATAAACAATCTAAGTCATCGCAAACTCCGAAAAACTCTGCTCTCATTTGTCATTCATCATGAATACAGACGTTATTTGTGGCCATACAATATTACATTTACCAGTAAAGAAAAACACGGAGGCTTGACTGACACAAAGCGAACAATAGTCTGTGAACTGCTGAGTTATACCGGTTGCGTAACAAACAAGATGAAAGGCATTCCAGTTATGTGTGTTCCACATGTTCACGGCTTTACCAGTAGGTACCTACCTAGTACCGTAGTAAGAAAGGCTTCTTCGTGTAACTCGTTGACTGGCCTTTTGTCGTTTGAGAAACCTTAGAAAATACGTTATTAGGACTACCTACTTTACTAAAACGTTCTGGCTGGTCCTATCCGTCACTGTTTCGTATATAATTTCTATAGTTTTTTTGCTCGGTCTTAAATATAATTAAATTTTTAATCATACTCTTCGTTTTTTTTTATTGCCCTTGTAGGCAGACGAGCATACGGCCCACCTGATGGTGAGTGGTTACCGTCGCCCATGGACTCCAGCAATGCCAGGGGCAGAGCCAAGCCGCTGCCTACCGCTTAATACTCTCCACAAGCCTCCTTTAAAGAAGGATATGTCATAGTTGCAATTAGATAGCTTAAAAACGAAATTAATTATTGATTTTATTACTATAACGGTTTATGAAAATTACGTTTCTGCGAATTCTTTTATAGAACACCAGTTTTATTGGTCTGTGTATCATATCGGGCCAATATTTCCACTTTGAGACAAGTACAAGATGGTAGAACTGGTTTTCTGGCTTTCAATTAAGAACAAATAAGTCTTTTGCAGCAGAAATAAGCAGTGTGGCCTTGAAACATGCCCTGCCGTAATAGTAATCTAACAGTAGTTTCTTAAAATTAACGTTTACGTGTTATTTTTATTTTTTATTTATTTATTGTTAACATACAAGTAGAAACAACAATTATTTGTATCTGAGTAATTTGTATCAGCATATATTTATTGGAACGAAGTTCCTTACGGCAGGCTTGGAGGGGAGAGGGATTTTGCTGCGCGACCGAACTGAAAAAAAAGTGATAGTAAAACCGTAAGAAAAAATCCGTGGAAAAAAGTGCGTGGAATAAAACCGTTAAATGAGACGTGCGCAGGCGCGACAGTCGTATACACAAGCGAGTAGTGTATAATACCTTTCTCTTTCTCCCTCTTTCTTTTCGTTCTCTCATCCCTTCTCTCTCTATTTTGTAATTATTTCTATTTCTATGTAATTTTATGTTGTCAAACAAAAATAAAGAGACATATTTTGTTATTTTAATTGATAATTTGAATTACGATTTTATTTTTATTTTACGTAATTTATTATTTCCTAAAATACTGAATTTCCTAAATACTTTCCTGTACTTAAATAAAAACTAATCAGCAAATTTTAAGAGAAAAATCAAGAAAACCAACATAAAATTGAGCACGATTTTTTTTTGCAAATTGTGTCGATTCTACATTAGCCGAAGGAACTTCGTTCCTACCTGGTGTCCCACGACACCACATTTTGTTTTTTTATATTATACGCTTGTAGTAAAACGATATCCAAACTGATTTTATTTTTATTTTTTATTGCTTAGATGGGTGGACGATCTCACAGCCAACCTGGCGTTAGGTAGCGGTAGGCAGCGGCTTGGCTCTGCCCCTAGCATTGCTGAAGTCCATGGGCGACGGTAACCACTCACCATCAGGTGGACCGTATGTATACTCATCAGCCTACAAGGGCAATAAAAAAAAAGTGGTTACTATAGCCCTTAGACATCTACAACGTAAATGCGCCACCCGCAAAAGGTTAGATACCGTTAACCAATCTGCCTTAGTGTGAGCAGTTCACATACACACAGCATAATTATTTATGAGGCATTTCCTCTAATATCACCGCGCTGAATATAAATCGTTCTCGTGTGCATTCGGAGGGGTCTAAAGCGCGGCTCCTCGTTTCCGATAGATTAGGTCAATTGCAGTCGCCCCAGTTTAACAACAAAGACCGTCGCGCTTTTGTTTATTGAAACAAATTGAACGGCTATCAAGGCGAACGTCCATTTTGAACTTTGAACTTTTTAATTATCGTAAGAGGATATTCGTTGCGTATGTCACTGATTTAGATCGAGCGTTGTGATTTTTCGTGTCGATTAATGTGTCGAGAAACTGTGTCGCAGCCGTCAGACAAAACAGCGTAAAATATTTCATTAAGCTATCGATTAATTTAACATTATCTTTCCTTTTGCGGGCCTACTGGAAGAGATTTCAACATGAAATAAGGAGTGCCCTTGTACTCTGTATCCTTATTGTCGTGTCTTTTCTAACAGCTGTGTGAACAAAATATATTAAATAAAATAAATAAAAATTATCTAAGTACAAAATTAAATTGCCAACAAATATATACGATATTTGGTTAGATTCGTTCATCAATACGTCAAGCGAAGTAACTACCTTACTCTCAAAACAATTCGGAATACTTATTTCAAGAATGACACATGTTGGGAAATATTTAGGATAGGATTAGTTTCAGAACTTAAGCATTAGAGCACGAATCATCGATAGATCGACTCTCTATTAATGCGTATAAAGCGCGGGGCATCAAAATACCGATTATTGTCTAGTTTGATTATAGGTATTAAGTATCGACCTGTACGGACGTGTCTTAGCGACTTAGCGGGCCCATCTAAACGTTTTTTATAAGTTAATAACATTTATAAATGACCATTTTAGCATTGATTTTTGTATATTTTACTTTTTTTCAAAAAACCATTAGCAATTTCTCGAAAAAATGTAGAAATAAGCACAGAAAGACCGAACGTGTCGGCGAAATTGCTTACTAAATAAATTTACCGGTTTTTTTAAAATTAGGAGTCGATGAAGACATTTCATCTACTGCTGAACGAGACGTCCCGCCGCCTTCAGGCCCTCACGAGGAGACTCGGCACCTGCGTAGACAAGTCGAGGCCGTACTACGATGCCCTGGGACAGGCGGTGGCAGCACGCTCCGAGTGTCAAAAAGCAGCAGTCCAATTTCAAAGAGCTAGTGGTCAGTACAATCACTCCAAATTTTTTATTTCTCAGGTGGACCATCGAACTCACGGCCGACAAGTGTGCTTATTGCGAGTTTTTTTACGTTTTCTATAGCGTAAAAGTTAATTCAAATTTGTATTGAGTTGGAACGTGTAACTACGCTGGCCGCTAGGAGCGCTGTTCCAACTGCATACAAATTTTAGTTAACTTTTACGCTATCGAGAACGTTAAAGAGCTCACAATAAGCACACTGTTAATTGGTTACCGGTGCCCGTAGACATCAACAAAACTAAAATGCTGCCACTCATCTTGAAGCGTAAGTTCTGGGTCTGGTAAGTAAATTTTGATTACAGACAGTGAATAGTCAGCTGTCATTACAAAGCTAATGCAGATTGTTATGTTACGTATAGCAGTAGGTACGTAATAGAGGTTATCTCTAAAGAACACATTTGAGATTCGTTTCTATTGCAAAAAAACGCCGCTGAAGTCAAAATGAATTATTTTCGATTACTACTAATCTAAAGTGAACGGTAAACAAAAATTATCAAACTAATTTTTTTTAACCTCCATGGTTTTAGGAAGCGTCAGTAACTTAAATTGTGTTGAATTACGTGCTTTGCTAAAAACATATGAAATTATTCATTTTGAAATCATATTTGTTTCGTGTTATCTTGTCTGCAATCTATTATCTATGTCTGTCTTCATTGTTGAGAACAAACTTAGTAACTAAATAAACCCGATACACATAATATATTTAAATTAATGTATTATAAGAAACAAAATATAAGAATCAAGGAAAGAATTCATTTATACCGTCAGCTATGACAGAATTGGTGATATTTCACAAAAAACTACTTCGTGGTTTCGTCATTTTCAATGGAAGTTTGCATTTACCTTTCGGAACCTTACCTTACCTTTACCTTACTGTTCGGAACTTTTCCGAACAATATTGACACTGGCGATATCCCGAACATTGACCCCAGCTCGGCGGAAGATATTCTATATATAAATAACGTTATTGATATAAAAAATTATAACAATCATTTTATACGTTTTAATCTCAAAACAAAATGTTTCAACGGAAGCGCTCAATACGTTGGAAACTTCATAAACGGAAAAATGACGTTGGAATCTATTTTAGAAAAGTATTTGAAAAGCAAATAATTATGTTTGGAAATATTTAAAAAAAAGCAAGTTTAAAGGTCATAGGCGACGGTTGCGAGGCCACTCGTAAACTGAAGAGTTAGTATTTTGGAAAGCTTAAACGACAAAGGGAAGATCTTCCACCGAGCTGTGACATTGCTCAGTAGACCGACGGTCCAAATGTTATTTATTGTTCGGAACTTGTATATATGCGAGCTTATCTTGATAATGTCGTAAGCGAGATTCAGGCATCCGTCAAATATCTTGCGTTGTATGATGGCTACCCGCCACAGTATCACGGGTTATATTAATTCGATTATACCGTATCGACCATATCGCATATTAAGAATCGAAGTGGCTCAACTAAAAAAATTAAGAAAATTCGTTTTATACTTTTAACGACTTATAAAAATGTGCTCTAGCAGTTTATAAAATATATTTAAAAAAAATTTAAAATGAAATTTAAATTTTAGTTATAAAAAGTAAAGTACACTTACCGTTTCTTTTAAATCAAGCGTACACCTTAAACTTTAAGAAATACGCTTTAAGGCTTAAAGTATTTATTAAAATCGAAACGAAAAAATTATAATTCTTCAATTACATTTTTGTCGTTTACCAAAAAAAAAACTGAGGCACAAACAATCAGTAATGGAATGTATTTAAATAAAATGTTTGACGAAATAATTACATATTTGGTTTGTATACTTCTAATTATTTACACAAACGTATTCCCAGGGTACCTATTGTATATAATTGTCATTTTATATATGTATATAATAGGCATTTAGTAATTTACACCTCGTTTTTTATTACTACACTAGGTGAGCGCACGATGTCACGGCTCGACTGGTGTTAAGTGATTATCGAAACCCATGAATATCATAAAGTGCCGCCCCAACCTGAGGAATTATTGCTCTGTCGAGGTGTTCTGTGAGGAATTATTCGAGGTGGTTTTGTCATCTCGTTTTTAGCATCGAACCAAATGTCACCGGAACAGAGTAAGCCCAGCTGCGTTTTCGACGCATTTCCGGAGGTTATTTTTGCCACTTACTCAACAGGTGTGTCTTGATAGTTATGACATGTCTTTCAAACGAGCTTCTAAAGGACTCCTCAGTAGCAAGCAGCAGTTTGGCTATATCCTTAGTGATGCCCATGGACCACCGTGACTGGTCACCATAACGTGGACCGTATGCTCGTTCAAAAATACCATACAAACTACTGCTTCGCAGCATCGTCCGCACCAATGTGTAACAGCCATTAACGTACCGTAAGGAAACATAAAAAAACATAGTCTGTTTTTAATACTACATTTTCGTTATTACTGTCCGTTTCATATTAATTACGTTAAAAGGTATTTTATATTAATATCGTGTCTGCGGACGCGTTCTGTGAATAATTCCATTAGCGTTGTATCAGTGGACAGAGACTTCCTGCGTTACGGACGCGGCGCGGCGGAGCGGTCAAGGTTCGTCCTTCAACACACGTTAATATGTAATACATTATCGATAGGCAACGACGACGGTAGGTACTTGTGTATACGAAGATCATAGATAATTAAGAAAGCTACACGGATACTAGAAGGGTTCTCCCAAAAGTAAATATTTAGAAGTTTAGGAGAAACTGGTCGTATATTTTTATACTTTTATTTAACTGGTGCGCGCAATTAGTGATCTGTGTGGAAAGATTCTTCCCACGTACATGTGTAACAGAATCGTTCATTATACGTTTCTCGATATGGCTCTGCGATATCTAAAACTACATTAAAAATGTTGAAATTCACGTGCGTTTGTTTTTTTTATTTAACCGACTTCAAAAAAGCAGGAGGCTCTCAATTCGACTGTATGTTTTTTTTAATGTTTGTTACCTCATAACTTTTGACTGGGTGAATCTGTTTTGATGATTCTTTTTTTAATAGAAAGCTGACGCTCCCCGTGTGGTCCCATTACAATTTAGTCCAGTTCTGATAATGGTATCCATGAGAAAACCATATAAGTCTTAAATTTGCATTAAGTACGTGCGCGACAAATAGATGAACAACTCAATAACTCAATATCACGCCAACCGGTTTCGATTTTTTTTTTTTCTACTTGAAGTCGGTTCTTGTTAAAGCAGGTCTATTTACAATTATTATGTTTGAGGTATTACAGGTGGCCCGAAGGCCTCTCCAGTTTCACCAGGTCAGGTGGGCGAGCAAAGGCTCAGCCAGGAGGGGTGGAATTTCCTAACAGCTGCCCGAGCGCCTCCAAAGGAGACCTAACAACTCAAGGGCAGCTGCTTCGCGAATGAATCTACTACCGGATCGGAATCGCGACCCGCTGAGAAGATCCGGCGAGAAACTCAGCGGGCAGATGTTTAGGATAGGTTGCACATCGAGCTCTTTGCCGAGTTCGACGAGTACGGTTACCAGGTCCCTAAGCCTGCTCCTAGTGCTAGAGCTGAAGGCATCTAATGCAAGCGTTAACGTGTACTTGTCTGTACGGTCGGTTAGAATCAGTTGACGCTGCTCTGTAACTGTCACGTTTCGATAGCTCAGTTGATCGGCTGCTTAAATGAATCCGTAAATGATCATAAGTTCGTTTCCTAAATTTCTCTGACTTCACTATGCGTTAGGCATGTCTCTAACGTTAATGGTGAAATTTAAGAAAATATTGAGAAGACATTTTTAGCTCTCAATCAAATAAAACGAAGGGGTGACTGAAAATCGGCCCCAGTTTGGTGCATCCACTTTGGACAGCATCTTTTTGCCTCTTTTTTTGTTTTATTTTTATATCTAGCTGTAATAATCGAAATCTGTGTGAAAGACATATGTGATTTTATTATTATTAATATTATTATAGATAAACGAAGCGAAAAGATAAGGCAACACGAAGAAACAAACATAAATAACGATTGTTAGTTTTTTTTTTCATTTTTTTTTTTCGATTTTAGATTTGAGCAACACAACTCGCATTCATTCCGCCTACATGTAATTTAATAGCTCAATTTGTTTTAATTTGCTAATGCGTGTCAACGGTGAACTTTAGCGATTAACCAACGTGATGATATCACGCTACAAACATCATAGTACATATTTATTCTGTTAATATTTTATGGTTCACGATAAGCTGTGAAGGTCATGTGGTATGTATCGATGCTATAGATAGGCATAATGAATGAATGGCGATCTGTTTTACGTACAGTATTCAGTATAATAGAATGTTAACGGATTTAAATCGGCCGTGACCTCGCAGTGATTTGGTGAAATTAAGGAAATATCCTGTTTAATTTTGTCGCGAAGCGGTCCCGTGTTTGCGTTTTCATTGATGGGGCAGTAATGAAAGACACGCTGGCGTGTACGTTGTGATCTGTATTTGGTCGAATAATCACATCGAGGCGTTGGGGTATATGGCATAAGGCTATTTGGTTTCAGAGACATTTTTGCAACTTTACACGAGAGTCATTTAAAGTTTAAAATTTGGAAGAAATATCAAGACAAAAAAAAACTTCAGCTATTTGTATGGGATAAATTTAATTGAAGTTCGTTTTTTTTTTGTTATTGCTTATATAGGTGGAGGAACTCACAGCCCACCTTGTTAAGTGGTTACTGGAGCCCATAGACATCTACAACGTAAATGCGCCACCCATCTTGAAATATAAGTTCTAAGGTCTTATTACAACGGCTACTCCATCCTTCAAACCGAAACGCATTACTGCTTCACGGCATCTTCAACATATTGCTATGTTTTATTGGGTTGTTTTGTTACACCGGCAGACATGCAGCTCGTGCTGTTTATTGCATTTAAATATTATCAGGACTTGTTTTATTTGTCGTAGGTAGTGTTGTGAGACCAATGTTTGCGTGCTATCGATCTTAATAAGCAAAGCGTGCCGGGTACTAGGCCACTGAGTTTCTCGCCGGATCGTCTCAGTGGGTCGCGTTTCCGATCCGGTGGTAGATTCTGCGAAGCACTACTCTTGCTGGGGTCAGTGTTAGCAACACTCCGGCTTGAGCCCCGTGAGCTCACCTACACACGTTAGGGTGAAGCTGAAATAGCCTCTCAAGGCTACCAGCATAGGTACGGAAAAAAGTGCCGGGTAGCGTCGCTTGCAATATGATAGAGACGCCGATTTCATGTGTGTAGGTGGTTTTGTTTTACTGCATAGGTAAAGAAGGTGTAGAAGACCAGTGAACTAGCTGACAACTCGCCTGGTGTTAAGGGTTTCCAGAGCCCATGGATATCACATGACCAATGCCCATCATTCGGGTTCACAAGTTGTTACGCAAACTATAATATTTGCGGGTTTGATTTTTCTTATACGATGTTATTCCTTCGTTCCTAGTCGTGGAAGCCGTTTAAGAACATATTATGTTAAGTACACATATTGACTTTTGCGTGATTTGAACACCGGCATAGTCAGCTCGCCCTGTAGTCGGTACCAGGCGATTTATCCTTCAAGCCATGGCGAATTCTAAACGAGTGGTGGCATTAATATTGTTACGCGCTGGGGTTCGGGATAAATATAAATAACACTGTATTTGCACTTAAAACACTTAAAGCACTCAACAAACACTTTAAAATCCTCAGTTCGATTCTTCGGCTTCGCTTCAGATGATCCGTTCGTTGTTTCGCTTCGCGTAGTTCCGATTACTGACTGAGTGCCATCCCTGCAATGCTTTTATAGCCGATACCACATCCCTAGAATTATCGAGAATATTTCACACATTTCTAGCACTGTGTTTCCGCTATCTGACAATAGATGGCGTTGTACGTCTCGAGCGTTCTAGGTGCTACGAGATCTTTTGATATTCGGCGATAGATGGCGTTACTCTTACCGGCGTAACCATATTATATAGTATTTGTGGTCTAAATTAAACACTTAACTTCACCAGTGTGCTTAGTGTGAGTTTTTTAACTTCTCGATCGCGTAAAAGTTAACTGAAATTTGTATTAATTTACGAAAAGTTTGAAGTTATTATTTATAATAATTTAAGACTTTTATCGTACACTTGTACATACCAGCGTACATCCCGCAGTTATTACTATAAACGCAAGTGCAAACATCGAACGATGATAATGTAAACAGACAAACATGTGTTATATATATTTTGATTAGATAAAGTTTTTGTACCGAACGCGGAAAGCTTATCAGTTCACCTTGTATGTTGCTTTGTTTAACGGGTAATCGAAATACTAAAATATTTACATTATGTATATTTATCTAGAAGCGTTTTAATGTTAATTGTTTTATATTGTTTGTTCTGTGAAAAATTTACATAATATATATGTTTTTTCTTCATTTTTTTATTGCTTGGATATTTGGACGACCTCACGGCGCATTTGGGGATAAATGGTTACCGGAGCCCATAGATATCGTAAACGTAAATACGGCCACCCATCCTGAAACATGAGATCCGCCCTTCAAATCGAAACGGATTACTGATTCGCGGTAAAAATAGGCGGGCGGTGGTACCTACCAGTGCGGACTCACAAGACATCCTACCACCAGCTTGTACCGTATGTTCCATGAGGAGTGGGGAGTGTTCATCCGTAATACCTAGAGGCACTGCGTTCTTCCACAGGCTCGTTACAGACATTTTTATTGGCACATACTATCCTGTTCGAGGTGACGGGTTCGATCCCCGCACAGGATAACTATTTGTGTGATGAACACAGTAATTTGTACTGCATCTGGGTGTTTTCTATTTATTATAATGTATATATTTACAACAAAAAGTAATACATATATGTAGTATATCCGTAATCTGGCACCCATAACACAAGCATTAAGCTTACCTTAGGGCTAGAGAACGTTGTGTGAAAATGCCCGTGTCCGTGTTTTAAAGGATTTTCCCGCCACAGTATCATATGACATTATGACATGTCTTTCTTCGAATGAGGCGTCCGGAGAGCGCACAGCGGTGGACTTGCCTCTGTTATTGATGACGTCCATAAGCGCCGGAACATCTCACCATCAGGTAGACTGTATGCCTTCATTTGCAGAAACAATATGTTAATATTCGCTCTTATTAATTTTATCAACAGAACTCCACGCGGCGGCTAAGGAGACCGTGACATTGGCTGAACAAAGGTTCGTGAGCAAACAAGACGAGTGGCAGTTCGACAGTAATTGGCAAGAGGTCCTCAATCATGCCATCATCAAGGTATAACAACATCGCGTGATCTTAATTATATGTCACTAAACGAACAGTGTCATAGTGAAACTCGAAAAATATTTGATTATAACAATATTTATCTGGTGGTGGTACGTTTTGTGCGTCCGCACGGGTACGTACCACCACCCCTGCCTGTTTTTGGAGTGACGCAGTGATGCGTTTCGGTTTGAAGGGTGGGGGTTTGGAAAACTGAGACTTGGAACTCATGTCTCAAGGTGGGTGACGGCATTTACTTTGTTGATGTCTATGGGCTCCAGTAACCACTTATAACCAGGTGCGCCGTGACCTCGTTCACCCATTTTAGCAATATTGGGCAATTAAAGTGTATATCAGGGTACTAGTGTTATTATGAGACGCCAAAATAAAATCATGTAATGTTCAGGTTATGGATGCCGAGAAACGAAAAGCGGAAAGCGGCCGCGAACACCAAAAGAAGGCGGCCGCTTACATCGCAGCCGAGAAGAAGGTATTAACCAATTTGACTCTGGTTATAGTGGCTACAATATAATGTGCCGTGCTCGTATCAAACTGATCTAAAAACTAACCGTTTGGTGTCCAGGTAACGCAGTTGGAGGAGAATCTAAAACGGAACATAATCAAGTCGCGGCATTACTTTGAAGAGAAGAAGTTGTGCGATGAACAGCTGCAGACGCAAAACGAGAAAATCGAGAAACTTCAGCGGTTAATAGCGGACGCGAAATTCCGGTACTCGAAGTCGTTGAAGGCTCTAGAGGAAATCTCTGAAGAGATCCACAGACGCCGCGGCGAGTATCCACCGGGGAAGGACAGCATACCTGTGGGACCTCGTGAGCCTGGAGTGGGAGCCGAACGGGATCCAATACACGACGAAATCAAGTTAGAAGATGAAGATTCTAGCCTCCAGGAGCTGCGCTTGAGGGTCCGCGAGCTGGCTTTGAAACCAATCGACAAGGCCGTAGAAACCGATGACGCGTGGGCATTGGAGCTAAACGAGACCATAAATAAACTGGACCAACTCCTAATGATGAAGGAGAACAACCAACAAAAGAGATCTAAATTTACCGCCAGTACCCCTCAAAACTTATCAGCGCCCTCGACCAGCACGAACGTGGCTAAAAACGCTCACCCGCCCAGCGACTCCTGGAAACCGGACACGAATCTCGACAGGGTCAAATCGGCCAGTCGGGAGGCGGTCTACGAGCACACGAACCCGCCCATCAGCAAGACCGAGAAGTCAAAGAGCATGATGTCGCTGGACGTATTGGCTCTCGCGCGGGATACGAACATCTTGGACCGCGAATCGTATCTCAAAGCCGTGATAGAGGACAAGTCGCCCACCGGCACGTACACGGAGAGCAATTCGGATCGGAACGAAAGTCCAGACGATATACTGATGGTGGAGTGCGATTCCAACGACTCCGCCCAGAACCCGGTCATCCGCATGACCAGCTCAACCGTCTCGGACAGCGACGATAGTTAAATACATATCGAGGAGTGCAAGGCTATTTGGGTTAAACAACATTTTGGACATTTACCAGAGCCGTTTGATAAGTTGTCGTGGCCTAAAGGATAAGACGTCCGGTGCATTCGTGTTGAAGCAATGCAACGGTGTTCGAATCCCGCCGGCGTGTACCAATTTTTCTAATATAATAATTATAATAATTTGCGTAACTACTGGTGGTAGGACGTCTTGTGAGTCCGCACGGGTAGGTACCACCACCCTGCCTATTTCCGCCGTGAAGCAGTAATGCGTTTCGGTTTGAAGGGTGGGACAGCCGTTGTAACTATGAGACCTTAGCTCAAGATGGGTGGCGACATTTACGTTGTAGACGTCTATGGGCTCCGGTAACCACTTAACACCAGGTGGGCTATGAGCTTGTCCACCCATCTATACAGTAAATAAAAAAATGGAAAAAATATCATTAGAAAAAACTTCTTCAGATATTCGAATGGAGTAAACTTAATTGAAGCTCAATTAAAAACATCGAACTGTTGATGCTAACGACAAATTAAACACGCCTTTAATTGCCAAGATAAATGTCACCAAATAGCCTTTTACATCCCTTGATTTAACCAATTTCTATTCACGTTTCGTATTTGACGGTCAATCGATAGGGTTGTGACTTCAGCAGGACTCAGAGCAGCGCAGAGGACGTTGCCATTAATTTAATGATTTGGAAAACTTTATCACTTGTAGTCCGTAGGCAGGTAGGAACTTTTGAATTTCAAATTAATTTGGCGCGTGTTGTTGTGTAGAGTTTGTTATTTTTTTTGTTTTTTTTTAAACAATTAGTCAAATTGTTTCGCCTTAAATTTTGTGTTGTGAAGTTTTTACCGGATTATTTTTACAATAAAATGTTAAATTGTAATTGTCTATTAACGAATGTAGATAGTTGTTCATGTTCCATTGGAGATATAGGTAGTTTTCCAATTACAGAGCATAATGCGACTCAGTGACGCACAATGCCGAATTATGCTGAAGCTTAATTGGAACGTGAATTAGTTTTCAAATGCATCAGCAGAGTGCGCTAAGTTAGCACAGTTTTAATTAACATTGATTATTTCTAAGAAACTACGACGAAACGAAAGCCTTACAATTTGTTTCAACATTAAATAATATTACTAACGATAATATAAACAAAATTTCGATCAATGCCAACTTAAAGAAAAAACACTTGTAAATTTTCTGTCACTGAGTCGGTATCGATTGCGAGTATCACGCGAGAGCAGTACCTACTTTTGAGAGTGCTCGATTGTGCTTCGAGTTGCTGTAGTTGGAACATTCAACGTTGAGCATTATGCCGCATAATGCGCTCTTGTGCTGTAATTGGAAAACTACCATATTCAAGGAATTGCGTTAGATTTTAACCGACTTCAAAAAAGGAGGACGTTCTCAATTCGACTGTATGCTTCTTTTTTATGTTTGTTATCTCATCACTTTTGACTGGGTGAATGGATTTTGATGATTTTTTTTTTATTAGAAAGCTGACGCTACCCCGTTGTGGTCCCATTTCAATTTAGTCCAGTTCTGATAATGATATCCATGAGGAAACCATATAAGTCTTAAATTTGCATTAAGTACGTGCGCGACAAATAGATGAATATCTCAATAACTCAATATCACGCCAACCGATTTCGATGATTATTGTTTTTAGAGTATATTAATTAGTTTTGGAATATTTTTTTTTTCTATTTGAAGTCGGTTTTTGTTAAAGCGTGTCTATTTAAAATTATTTATACATTGACAAGATCGTTTGTCTGTTTTGTTTGTTTATCTCCCGAATTCTGAATCGCGATGATATACAGACTGCACGATCGCTTCCGTGTATTACGTTTACTGTATCTGACTCTACGGTTTTGTGAGCATTACATTGCTGGCTCGCAAAATATTAAGTTGCTAGTGCATTATGACGGTTGACATTGACATTATTATTGACGGTTGACATTATGTGCAGGAGTGAAAGAATATTTGGTTTAAGCGATCCTTTTGCAACTCTTAGCCATTTAAAGGTTAGAATTTGAATATAGTCTCGCTAAAACTCGAGAACGGCTGGACCGATTTAGCTAATTTTGGTCTTGAATTATAATTTGTGGAAGTCTAAAGAAGCATTAAAAGGTAGATAGACATGAAAATGCTCGTAAATTAAATAAAAATAACAATTTTGTTTTGGACGGATTCCTTTTGTTTGTTTTAAGTTTATTTTATACAAAAGTTTAGGTCTTTTATATGTCGATTGAGGCACTACGAAGTCTGCCGGGTCAGCTAGTACCGAATAAAACGCACCTTTAATTAGGAAAATAAACGTGGCTTAAACCAGATAGCCTTGCACTCCTCGGTATTTTTACTCATGTTAGCTCGAATATAGGTATTATTTCGACTTGAGAGTGGTCACCTAGAGTCCTCTGCGGGTCTTGTTCCTACCTACAGCGTGACGGTCACTATTATGTTAAAAAGTCACTGGGCGGTCCATAGCGCCCTCACGAGCCATATCAATCCACCGAGCTTAATTCACAAATAGTTTATAATGTTAAGATGGAGTAATTGCGTTGTTTGAAAAATAAAGTCGTAGCGGCTCGGCTGCGCCCCTGGCATTGCTGTTGACCATGGGCGACGGTGAGAACTTTCCGTCACGTAAACTCATTTGCATTCATCGGTAGCATAAATATAAGTAGTTTTAAGAATTTTTTTATATCTTCAAATTGTAGAAGGAATCTGTGTGTGAAATAAGATTAATTAAATTCATAATAATTTATGTAGTTCTATGTGAAGTGTATTGCAATGGCGACCCGGATATTCACAAAATGGTTGACAGGTCAGGGACCGCAGATGACGAATCGATTAGAAATGACAATTTACAATTAAATGTTTTTGTCTGCAAATCATTTGCACTCACGGCTTGCCAGCGCAAAATGTACCTTAAAGCTGCACGATAAGACACTGATTTGTCAGTTGTAGGCTATATGTGATGTTTTAGTACAGAACACATTACATATTTACATTTGGTACTTGTTTAATGTTTGTGAATATCAGAACCTATGGTTGTCTAGTTGTTGTGAGTTAGTAAGTTTTGTTTCATTTGAGTTCTATATATAAATATTATTTACGGTAAATATGACGGTATTTTCGATTTACCACAGCTGTCTTATTCAGATGATCGAATTCTCAATACATAGTTAAATAGTATCTAGAAATATCTGTGAGTAAACATTAATGTGCTCTATAGAATAGGATCTAGTTTTTTTGACACAGCTTAGTGGAATTGCTTAGATTTTAATTTGTTTGAAGTGCGCTCTTGAGCCCCCAAAAAAATAATAAAATTATTAATTGCCTTCACACTAAATAAAATATAAATAAAAGAAAAAGGAAAAAGGAGGTGGCTCAGCTAATATTGTTCAAAGTCGATAAATCGAACCAAATCGAAGGATAGAAGTAAGAAACACCGTCTCAGTGTATTTAAGTGTTCGCGGAAAGAGAGTCAACTGAGATGGCGCCACAGTAGCTAGTGGAATCTATATATTAATACGTCAAGCAAAAACTTTGTACCCCTTTTTACGAAAATTGCGCGGACGGAGGAGTATGAAATTTCTCACACTTATAGAGAATCTATAGAGGAGTGCACAATGCTAATATTTTTTTAAATAATGCATAGAAGATAATTTAAATCAATAAAGAAAACATTACACACACTACCATGTATTTGACACAACGCATACATAAAGATATACTCTTTGTTGTTAATTGGGAAACTTCTGTTATTGTTTAAAGTCTGTGGTCGAATTAAAAATAGATTAATATTGTTTGTCTTTAATATTATTGATCTATAGTGCAGTTTTGACAATAGACCCATTATAATGTTTAAACTTATAATTTTAATTAATTATAGTCGAATTTCGACTGCGGGGCCACTAGTGATTTTTAAAACTACCACACTTTGCTTAAAACTGCTATACTCAAAACATTTCCACTTCCTACACTATTTCGGTGAGTCTCCCAACACTAATTTACATGTGGACACTATTCAACTTATCCGATATACAAGATGGTGCTCCATATATTTACCCTTCAGTCAAGCTAGGCTGTGTCGTTCATAGTTATAGATTAGGTTAAGCTATATGATATCTCAATTATTATATTTTCAATCCCAAGTGTTTTGTTGTAAATCAACGAGTGATTTATTCACAGTGCCTTCGTTGTATCGTTAAATCACAAAGTCAGTAACGAGAAGACTGCTACGGTTGGTACTTAAGTCGTTTATAGGTTAAGTTAATATTTACCGCGGTTTTTGTGGCAATTTGTTAATAAAAATATACACAAGATAATTAAACGGGTTCTTGTAGCGATTTTCAGTTGGACGTCTTGAGTTACAGACTAGACGGGAATTATTATAATGGATGTAAAAATAATAGTGTCTATGGTAACATAATATTAAACAATGACATACTGTAGAGGACGCGTGATGGTTATTTCAAACTTCAAACAGATTGGAGTATTTCGTGTAATAATAATCAAACCCGAAAATTTATAATTTTCGTAATTACTGGTGGTAGGACCTCTTGTGAGTCCGCGCGGGTAGGTACCACCACCCTGCCTATTTCTGTCGTGAAGCGGTAATGCGTTTCGGTTTGAAGGGTGAGGCAGCCGTTGTAACTATACTGAGAGCTTAGAACTCATATCTCAAGGTGGGTGGCGGTATTTGCGTTGTAGATGTCTATGGGCTCCAATAACCACTTCACATAGGGTGGGCCGTGAGCTCGTCCACTCATCTAAGCAATAAAATAATAAAAATCAAGTTTGCGATAACTCTAATGTCGCAGCTTTGCACCGTGACTACACAAACAATTGTAGTGAGTACAAAACCATCAAATTGTAATTTAATAGCTCGCAACATTTTTCTGTCAAATTTCAAAGATTAATTCCAAAGGACGAGCTAATCGTGTTTTAACTTTACAATTATTCTTTGATAATACTGAATATTTTTAAATTGTCACAAAAACATAAATAACTGACCCATTTTCAGCTAAACGATTTATTAACAAGATGAGGGTAGATTGATATACTCATTAATTTAAGTAGTTTTAGATGAAACATCGAATATTTCACTTGCAAAAGGGGATAAAATGATTTTACGACACGTTCAATTTTGTGTCCTATGTTCGAGTTTTTTAACTTCGCGATCGAGTAAAAGTTAACTCGAATTTGTATGGAGTTGGAACAGCTTCCCTTCGATTGCCGCTAGGGGCGCTGTTCTAACTCCATACAAATTTGAGTTAACTTTCACGAGCTCATCGTGTACGTTTGTCTCGTGTATATGTGTAAGTTTCCGGCCCCCATAACGTGAGAAACTCAGACTTTGAGGTCGCTTGTGAGAAACGATTGACCTCAAAACAGGAGTTTTTACTACTAATCGTTAATAAAATGTATGTCGTACGATGTAAATCGATTGTTGATATTGTTAGCCTGAATTAAATGTATTAGCGCAAAAATGTCGCCACGTTATCCATTGACTAACGCATGTAAAGTAATTTTACCCTGAACATTAATTCCGAATTCATATATCACAAAAGCTTTACTAACCCAGGGCACACTAGATATGTATTACGAATTACTTTATTATATTTTTATATTGAATGTGTCATACAATTTAATAATGTGATGTCTCTAGTGTATGACTGGTGATTTACCGCACCATAGAGCTAGAGAGAGAGAGAGAGTCATACATCGGGTAATCGTCATCTCTGTCACTCGTACGCGAAACGTTTCGTCATAATCGCACTTAGCTTGGCGTTACAAGTGGTTGTGCGGCGAGATGACGTCATAAAATACACTTACACGCACATGTTAGATGTATTCACTTTCGCACCACTTCTTTCTTATCAGTGTTATTGAATAAACATTTAGCATTATTATGATTATAAATTATTTATTAAATAAAACTTAAAAGAAATTAATCAAGTTTAGCATTATTAACAGTTGACAAACACATTCACTACGACTCCAGTGTGCTTAGTGAGAGTTTTTTTAATGTTCTCTATAGCGTAAAAGTAACAACAGTAACTCGAATTTGTATGCAGTTTGGAACAGCGCCCCTACCGGCATACGTTCAAACTGCGTACAATTTTGAGTTAACTTTTACGCTATCGAGAGCGTTAAGAAACTCGCACCAAACACAAAGGTCTTAAATCCTTTGACTAAACTACACGCTCTTGTGAAACTCAAATATCGCATTCTATTAATGTGGCGTGAACTTCCAACTATATAAAGCCAATGAAATGTGAAGTTGGGCTGACAGTGACCACCGCGGTCGCCACGTATATACATATATGTATATAACACATACTATACATAACAACGGACTACGCCACTGTCGTTACAATCGGGCGAACACATTTGGATATTGTTCTCTGAGCGATAAATGTTTCAAGTATACTCTATTTGAATTATAAAACTCTCCAAACGTAAGTTACCAGACCAGTGAAATAAATTAACTCAAATACATAGTTCCGAGAGATGAAAATTTAAACTCATATCCGGTATGTCCAGTAAGAATCATTCCGTCACATAATTTGTTTATTTCAATAAAATCGGCCCCCAATCTCAAGAAAATGTCCTTCATTGAATCAAATCAGAATAGTTGAGAAGTGAGACTTCATGCACTGTACACTGAATGTAATAATATTCAATAAATTGATGTTTAAAAATTTATTGTTTTATTGAAATTTTCCTAATAATAAATTTCTTTTCATTGAATTAGACAATGAGAATACAATCAGAGTATTTCGCAATGAACCCTTACAGGGTTAGGGTTAAAAGCGACTTGTAAAGTCGCTTTTATAAGACTGCTTTTTTGTACCCTAAGGGCCAATTCCAAATTCTCACGGTCTCAACCTCAGAGTTTGCTAACACCAGTCCTAGCAAGAGCAGTGCTTCGCAGAATCTACTACTGGATCAGAATCCCGATCCACTAAGATCCGGCAAGAAATTCGGCGGGCTGTGTCTATGGGCTATTTCACTCTTCGAACTGTTCGTCGTAATCAACGAGGGCGGTGACTTATGCTTGAAGATGCCTAAAAGCACCGAGAGTGGATTCGGAGGATCCATCAAGACATGTTTCGGACGATGGCGGCTTTGCAGTGCCCCGTTGCCTGTGTCGGACAAAGCCACGTTAAGAGGGTTATCGTGTCGCGCCGCTTTGTCGAAGTAGTGTTCTGACGCTACTTTGATACTTACGTATCGGTTCTAAACATCGTCGTGAAAATCGATATTGCACAGTGGGGTGCTCTGCGATTCTGAAAAACGGGATTGGATGACTTGTAGGGTGTTTATGTGCCTGCGGACCGGGTGAGCGAACGCTATACTTGTGAGTCAGGACGGGGCGTATGCAAGTCTCAGCTTGCAGATCATGGGGTAAGAAGAACTGTGTTGTTTGAGACTTTAATAAAACGGAAAACAATACAATAATAAATTTTATTAATCTTAATTTACAAAATTCAACATTTCTACATAGTTAAACACATAACAAGAAGAAGGCACTTCTACAAGTGATACAACTCCAATTTATTCTTAAGTCTACATACAATTTACAGGGAAAACAAATAAATCCATTACACATTCGTAGCTTATCGGCCGCGAGTGCTCGGGCGAAACGTCGGTACCGCTTACAATCAGGAGGGCCGTCAGCTCGTCTACCCGTTTACGTAAAAACGATAAGAATTACTCTCAGTTAATACTGTCGTAAAAATTACCAATGTCAAATGGTATTTGACGAGGAATAGTTTTGGTTTGACCATAATGGAATGACCTTAGAAAAATATCTGCATCAATGTTGATTAAAAATCACTTATTAACAATGTAGTTAAACGAATATTGTGAAGAGCTGGCGTGTCTGAGAAACTATTTGACCTGTATTTACAGAATACTAATTACAAACGAGGATTTGGTATAAATTAAAATGTTATTGAAATAAGTATAAAAAGAAAATTACATTATTTAAGTTCCAATAAAAGATGAAAGTAGTTGACTGAGTGACACGCAGAGTGTTCAAGCACAGGCATTTCAAAGAATTTATTATTCATTAAACTTGTTACACGATGGAAAAATTAGTCAGTTGCAGTAAAATATGATATGAAAATACATATAAAAATTGAACAAATGCTACAGACTATTCAACATCGAACGTGACCAGACAAGTTGCCTACCTATGCTATTACATCGACCAGTGAAAGCCTATTTGGTTTCAACGACCTTTATGCAACTTTACAGAAGATAACATGTGTTCCACGATAATTATCGATAAAAAAATTAAATACTCATACATTTATATAAAATAAAATAAAAACCATTTTAATACCATAAATACCATATGTTATAGAATCTAAGCAAACAACCAATTTACTTTTATTGTTATCTTTAGACAATTCGATAAAAACCTTTAATAATAATTCCGCTGTTGATCATGAATTTTTGTTAAAAAACAGATAAAAATTTTAAAATTGGTAAATCACATCGTAAAATATCTTCAAATTCCTCGTTGTCCAAAATAATAATAGTTACAGATCCGTTAATATAAATTACCCAGTGACGATCTTTCGTTAATTGCTTGAGGTATCACCATTTAAATTTAATAAAATAATTTTCCTTTCATGCCGAATTTAAAACAACAAAAAAACTTTAATATTTTTTTATAACAAAATATTTGAATTTAAAAATGAAATTACATTTCCCCTTGTGTGATCACTGCTCGAACAGCGATATATCCAATGTAGTAAAAGTTTACTGTTGAAACTTTAAAAAATTAAATTGATTATAAACTTATAAATAAAATTGTAGTTTAGCTTGGCGATCTTTAATAATTAATAAACATTTTGAAGGGAAACTTCTTTAGGCGCGTTAAGAATATAATTTAACTCACGGCAGATTCGTTACGGTTAGAGAGAAAAGATACAATTTAGGACGAGCGAGAGTGAGAAAATAGACAGAGCGTCTCGCGAACCACTCGACCGTGGAGAGAGGGAAAAGACAAAGTGAGCTAGATCGTTTTTCTTGTACACAGCATTCCCTATTACAAGAGAAATTTGATTTAATGATGAAAAATGAAAAGAACCACAATACTACACATCGCAAAAGAAGTTTCACTTCTTTTACGTGCATCAATTTGCACGCGCACCATTTTTTTTTTTCTAACAATTCTAGCATCTGACATAGTAGAGAATATTTCAAATATTATTTCCTACGTTCACTAATTGGTACTTATCACTGTTTGCAAAGTGGCCACCGATATAATAATTGTAATTACTACTAAAATAAGGTAACATTGTATAAATGGTTGTTATTTGTTAAAATAATAATTGTTACCACAAAAATATGTAATGCAAGTAATAGAGCGATTCGATAAAGTGTCAGTCAACCCGACTTTGAGAATACGCGATTTAATTAAAAACAAACTTTTAAAACATACAAATAAAACCTAGTCTCATATCGAGGAGTGAAAGGCTCTTTGGTTTTAGCGACATTTTTGCAACTTTACGGGAGAGCCATTTAAAGTTTAAAATTTTGGAAAAATATCATAACAAAGAAACCTCTTCAGCTATTAGACTGGAGTAAACATAATTGAAATTCAATTAACAACATCGAATTGTTGATGCTAATACCAAATAAAACGGACCTTTAATTACGAAATGTACTGATGCCAATGGACAGTTTCGAGAATGCTCCGTCACCGTAATGACTAGCAATTAGATTTCGCTAGATTCATCTTAACTATTGGCTACATTGACAAAAAAATAACGTAAAAATTGGAAGCCTCCAAATATTTCTTATTAGTATCGATGATCGAAAATCTTATCGATTTTTGATCTGGCCATTTAACTATAGCAAACAAATCTTCTAGTAACGAGGAAGATAATAGAATAATACATAATTACAATCATTTTATTTCCTGTATATATGACACAACCGTTATCAAACCCCCCAGTTTGACACTAAAAGGACGATTTTTGATGTGAATCGTCTGACGAGAACACTACGTAGCGAATTCTCGCCGAGAACGGAAACAAGGACCATAGCTATCTTCCTCACAGTTGTTGCATTTACGGACTGTATTTACGTTTTTGCCAGACAGCATCGCACTTATATAAATTACGGAGCGAACAATTTTTAAACAGCTTAACAATACCCACGGTTATTGACCCAAGAATTATTGTTCATCCTACATTGCTCTCTGAATTCTTTGGAACAATAAGTTTGCTTTGTAATTTAAATTGTAAATATAATCACTTCTATCTTCTTCGGGAACGTTTTCCTGGCATACACGTACTTAGATATATCTGACGTCAACAACCTTACATCACATGTGTAAATAAATGCATATTTCTTAAATGCTTTGTATTATAAAATGTTCGTAACGGTTCATTGACCTCTCACAAATATCCATCCTTTATTCGATATAAAAGCTTATTATTATTGAAGCATACTTGCTTTGTGCTTTTAATTAGCATTGAGGATCTATCGGAACATAAATACTATCATAATTACAGTTAATATTTTTGTACACGAAAATATAATTAAAAAACATATTATTTTACACATTTGCTAGTGTTTAAAAGAGATAATAATATAAAAATCTCGTACGATGATCTCGTCACGACATTAACTATATAAGATCTTAAGAGTCGATAATTTAATTTCGATCATATTTCAAACTATTAATATTGGTATTGGTTGTCGTTATAGTTTGGATTTTGGTACATTGACCACTTCCTGCCACCATCTTGCTCGTTCGAAGGCACCAGGATTACTGAACAGAGTTTTCTGTAGGTTCTGGTAAAGCTGTAAACGAATAAAAGCTAATTGAAGAGAGATCCTTCCATAAAGTTTACCGGAAACGCATTTTATTGCATATCTTTAATTTTACGTAACCAGCAAACCAAAGTTTCATTTTTAACACGTTACATTGCGCGCGCTAAATAAATTTATTGAAATATCCAATTCTTAAAATCAAATCGGGTACGATGTACTTTTGAAAAATCTTTTTTTTTTAATTTAGTTCGATGAATAAGCTTACATACAACCTACCTGGAGTACCTAGTGTACCTGGTGGGTACCTGTATATTAAATACGTGAAGCAAAAACTTTGTATCCCTTTTTACGAAAATTGCGCGGATGGTGGAGTATGAAATTTTCCACACTTATAGAGAATATACAGGAGTGCAGATAGCTTATATATTTTTTAAATTATGTATTAGAAATACATTAAATCGATAGAAAAAATATTAGACACACTACTATAATATTTGTCTGTGGTCAAATTCAGAATAGATTAATATTGTTTGTCTTTAATATTATTTGTCTATAGTGTAGCCTTGGCGACATCTGTGATTATAGAAGTATAATAAATAGTCTTTGATTTATTATCAACCGTAATAATGTTCAAACTTATAATTTCAATTACAAAATTATAGTTGAACTTTGACGACTGCGGGACCACTAGTAAAAATAAAAAAGTGGACTCACATTCCCGTCGCTGTTCCCGAGGACGGAGTTGAGCACGAAGTCGGTGGGGGCGAGCGCGTCCACCACCCCCACCACCTCCCCCTCCAGCTCCGCGCACAGCTGCAGCACGGCGTCGCGGACGGCGCGCGCACAGTCCTCCCCCGCCGCAAACCCGCCCTGGTACAACTCCACCAGGTGACCGTCCAGCGACCAAAGTCCGTACAACATGAACAGCTTCCTCAAAACCGGCTGGAGCTCTTCATCCTTCTTCTGGAGCTCCTCGAGGAAGAACAACAGCGCCAGGTACTCAGCGTACAGCTTGCTCAGCGTCTTCCACTTGTAGACCTGACACTTGGCGCGGGCCTCGAACTTGCTAAGCCCCCTGTCCAGCTCCGACTCGTACTTCTGGTGGGTTTGCTTCAACACGTAGCAGATCAACCATTTGTATGTTGACATCAGAACTGAAAGTGTACACATTCATTGTAAGGACCATAAAGACAAGACGTTGTCCAGCTGTAAGGACAAGGCGCGGTCCGGGTCCTGGTTTATTATTATTATTGCATAGCAGAATGCATGGCAGGATGGTGCAGACTTACAAGAGGTTTTACCACCAGTAAAATGCATACTTAACAAACGTTCACGAACAACTTCCGCGAAGAAGGAATAAGAGCGAGTGACGACCAAAGTTTATACATTTGTGTAAAGAGTGGTGGGTGGTCTTGAGACATGAGGTCGGCGCTGGACAGCAGCAGAGTATGGTAGTTAAGGATCTGGGTAGGGAGACAAATTTTGTGTGCTGACGGTGGCGCATGGGGCAGCGGGTGGGTATAGTATTAGATGATCGTGTTGCAATACAATCGACCCAAATCGTGGTGAGAACATTAATAAAATTTGTAGCATGCAACATTCGGTCGCACTCGGACGTCATCGGACGCGATTGGAGTTCCCGAACGCACGCGTGTTCCGTGACGTCATGCAACAAGATTCGCGCACGCCGATTTAAGTTCGATGTTAAAACATAATTTTAGCTTTAATTTGTATCTTCTAGTGCCTAGCGCTGTTTACTTTTTTTTTATTTATATTTTAATATTGTACACATTACAGATATTGTTGAAATGGTGTATTTGACTTTTATATGTTCGGAGTGAAAATATCCCGCGAATGCGAGGGACAAATAACAAACCACAAATTAATACTGGGGGTCAGGAGACCGCTTCCGAAAACGAAAATTTTTGTATCTACAATGTTGTAAATTCTGGGAAGCGCGGTACCCGCGACGCGCCCGGGCGTTCGTTGACCCGAGCATCAGCTGTTTTTGATTTTGTGTTTCATTGCTGTTTTTTTTGTAATGTATTTTTTATGAAACTGTCGTTTCATTTAGCTGTACTAACATGATGGAGCGTAAATAATGCTAATAAAACGTTTTAAAAGTATGATTTTTTTAAATCAGGATCGATTTTTTTTTTCGTCCCATCATCAAAAGTATCATTAGTACTACCGTATGTCTTCGTGTTCGGAAGCGGTCTCCTAACACCCAGTTTAAATTAGGTGAGAACATTATTTTATTACTATATTTTAGTAAAGGTAGTAGCGAGTAGTGTCATTTGATTCTTTGAGCTTGAACCTGTATTAATTGATTTCAAGACTCACAGTGTTCCGATTTGACCGCAGTGCCGGGAATGAACTTCTGTTTGAGTATCTCGGTGAGGTCGGTGAGGAAGAGCACGGTCCCGAGGGGGGAGTCGACGGAGCCGGCGGTGGTGGCGCTGTGGTACTGTCGCAGCAGCCAGTTGCCGGCCTGCTGCGACAGCACGTTGTTGTCGCCCTCGTACGTGACCGTGGGCTCGTGGTTGCTGCGGATGTCGCCGAGGTTCGAGGCCTGCGGAGCGGGGACCCGTTTCGTTTATTCATTCCTAGTTAGACTAATGTCATATCTTAATAATTAAGACTACTTTTACGGCTTAATTTAATTTCTTTTTTGTCATTATATTGTTTCCAACGTTTCCAATACTTACGGCTTTCATGGTGACAGATGACTAAGATATTACTTATGTTTAAAATTAATCGTGAAACTCAAGAAACATTATTTTTCTCCTACCTACGCCGAAAGTTCGGTTTTCGTCCCGCTGTACAGAGAAGAAAGTGTAACTTTTTCTCCCTGGGTACTGACAAGTGCGCATGCGCGTTAGTGTCTAAGTCTGCTCTCACGCACCTAAAATTCTCCGCCATTGTTGTGCTCGGATAATTTGCAATATTGTTTTTAGTGTAAAAATTAAATAAATAAAAGGCAATCAAATTTAGTAGTGAAGTATTAAACAAAGATGAGTTCCTCAGACAGTTCTTATTCAATTAGTAGTAGTTAATTTAAAAATTAAAAAAGAGTTAAATTGCCTTCGGTTCGGGTGGGACTTTTACACGCGGGAGGAAATGTCCAACTTTTCTCCCTTGGTGCACAATGTACTACATATTATATGTAATCTTAATGCTAGTTTCCTTGATTGGCTCAACTTGAGGTGACTGCAGGAAGGTTCCCCCTCCTCTTACCTTGAGGAAGCCGTGTCCCCCGCAGGCCTCGCGGCACTCCTGCGCGGCGGCCAGCACGCTCCACGTGAGCAGCGGCTTGCAGCACGACACCATGGCGTGGATCTCCGACACCGCCTCGCTCTGGCGGCAACAGACGCTGGCTTAGTGACGTCACCAACACGCCCACTCCAAACGAGTTAATCCACGCGGGTAGGTACCACCACCCAGCCTATCTCGGCCCTAAAGCAGTAATGTGTTTCGATTTGAAGGGCGGGGCAGCCGTTGTAACTATACTGAGACCTTAGAACTTATATCTCAAGGTGGGTGGCGTATTTACGTTGTAGATGTCTATGGGCTCCAGTAACCACTTAACACCAGGTGGGCTATGAGCTCGTCCCCCTACCTAAGCAAAAAAAAAATAAAAAACAAGCTGTACGGGACTCACCAAGTTGTCCACCTTGATGCCGGCATTCGATTTCTCCACAATTTCGAGGTACACGCGCGTGAAGCTCTCAATGTAGACTCGGAACACGACCGCGGCCGCCACGTACCCGAACAGACGCCATTGCTGTAAAGAAGGGTGTAGAAATGCAAGTGAAGGATGGAAGTTGTATTAGCCAAACTTAAGGCATTTCTAAAGTGAAACTTCTTTAGAATCGTTGTGATTTCAAACTCGATGAAACGAAAAAATAAGTCCATAGAGACACAAACGTATTACTGTAGGGCTGACATTTCTTTTTTCTCTTCTGTTTACTGATGGTAGCCTAAGAAGTTTTTTTTTTATTGCTTTGATGGGTGGACGACCTCACGGCCTACCTGTTGCTAACTAAGTGGTTACCGGAGCCCATAGTCATCTATAACGAAAATGCGCCAACCACCTTGAGATATGAGTTCTAAGATCTCAGTATAGTTACAACGGTTACCCCACCCTTCAAGCCGAAACGCATTGCTGATTCACGGCAGAAATAGGCAGGGTTTGGCGCGGTTTGAAGGTCAACTTGGGAGGACTTTCTAACCCTTGACCTAGCAAGAGCAGTGCTTGGCAGAATCTACCATTGGATCGGAATCGCAACCCACTGATGAGATCCGGCGAGTAACTCAGTAGGGCTGTCTGTGGGTTCTTACATGGAGCTGGTACTCTATGAGTGGTATCTCGCGGCATCGCTCGCCAAACTGCGTCCTGGTGGCGGCGTAGCGCACGGCGATGGCGACAGCACTCGACATCGAGTGGCAGCTCTCCTGCATTATACCGATCCGACCTGAGAACCGGGTTAGCGAAACTTGAATTGAACTCCGACATGCGTAAAGTTCAGTTTTGAATAACCACCAGTCGGAGGCGGTTTCGAAACAGCACCAAAGATCGAGTTACATCATTTAACATTTTACGGGTTAACGAAACTTCAATCGAGCTCTAACACGCGTAAGGTTCAGTTTTGAATAACCACGAGTCGGAGGCGGTTTCGAAACAGCCACAAAAGATCAAGTTATATCATTAATTAACATTGTATTTAATTCGGGCTCTTATCTGAAAGCAAAATTAAATGTCATATGTAGTGGAATTTGGAGACCTTCGATTTGTGCCGGTTTGTGGGTTTTCTCAACTGCCTTGCGAGGTTAATTAATTAACCAAGACTAATTAATTTATTTATTCAATTCAATACAAAGTCAGGCTTGCAATTTGCACCAAAACGCCTAACTCGTTAACACAAAAAGCATTACTAAAATTATAAAGTATTATGTATAATGCTAAAAAATGAAAAATAAATAATAGGTACTTTAAAAAAACTAACAAAATACGCTTTTATAGAAATCCTAACTAAAAAATAGAAAATAAATTTTAATAAATTTGAATTAAAAATAGTGTAAGAAAAAAATGGTTTTATTGTAAAAACGCGTGGGGTGCTTTTCAGGATTATTAAAATAACCCCTTCTACTCATATCTGTTCATAAAATATTTTTAATTACTGATACTGATACCAAAATCATTTTTTCTTACACTATTTTTAATTCAAATTTATTAAAATTTATTTTCTATTTTTTCGTTGTAATTTCTATAAAAGCGTATTTTGTTAGTTTTTTTAAACTATTATTTATTTTTCATTTTTTAGTTGAATTTCAATTTTTTTAATTTGTTTTGTTTTTAAAAAAAATTTTAATATTGGTTTGTCATCGCTCCTTAATAAGTATACCACATTTCGAGTTAATCCGACGTTTTGAGGTGGGTCAAAACCATGTTCAAAGATTTCGTTACATACTAAGATACTAACATACATACGTCTGAAGCTAATAAAAACGTATTAAAAATAACATTATTTTAGACAAAAGTATTCCCCAACTATCGGCAACACGTCAGCATCCTGGATTTCGGACAGAAATTCGTTTACCAGCGCAATTGCCCTGGCCGTTGGACAGTTCCTAGCCCTACGGATCCTTAACCCCCCAACGGCGCGAATAAGTGGTGGCGGCGGCGCACTCCCGCCCCCGCATACTGTTGCATGACGAATACTGTCAATACCGAATTTGGTCAAGTTTATTTTTGGAAAGATGCGTTGTATTCGATACGTTTGAACAGCTGTTCGAATTAACGTGGAATATCAATAAAGCAGCGGTGACCGCGATGAACAAATATCGAGTTATGAATGTTTATTTCTATTCAGCTATTGTGAATTGTGTATTATAAAGATAAACATTAAATTATATCGTGTCTTTGTTTCTATTTATTAGTGTGGCAATAATAGTAATAAATAATAATTAAGTACATAATATGTATAATCAAAACAAATAAAATAAAATGCTTTATTTTTACACGGCAACATATTGAAATGTTATTTGAAATTATAATAAAAAGGACAATTTGAAGTTAATCGTTTTTTTTATTGCTTAGATGGATGGACGAGCTCACAGCCCACCTGGTGTTAAGTGGTTGCTGGAGCCAAGACATCTACAACGTAAATGCGCCACCCATCTTGAGATATAAGTTCTAAGATCTCAGTATAGTTACAACGGCTACTTACCCTTCAAACCGAAACGCATTACTGCTTCACGGCAGAAATAGGCGGGGTGGTGGTACCTACCCGTGCCGACTCACAATAGGTCCTACCACTAGTAAAGTTTATAAATATCTTAAAACTTAATTACATAACATTCTAATGGAGCAGTGAAAACGCTATGCTTGTATGCAGCAATGGATGGTGTGTAGCTGGGACCAAAGGGGTTCAATTTAAATTCGACTTTACGACTACACTAAAACGACTCATGTTGCATTGGACTCAGGGTGAACAATAGATCCGCTGAAGTGTTAAATATGTTATATTCATTACTTGTTTTACGATTGTTTAAGAAACCGCAATATAATATTGTATTGTGGAACATAAACATTACGACGTTGTAAAAACTAGGCAATTACACATTCATGTGTGTTTTAAATTTATTTTAAATACTGGATATTGTATAAGCCTGTTATTGTTGAAACAAATGTAGACGGTTAAGTCTTATCTCGTGTCATTTAATTTCACTCCACGAAAAAAAAAACATTTCTACCATCGGTTCCATTTTACTTATACTACAGTAAAGGTCAACGACCTCGAGTGAGGCGGGGCGCGGGGCGCGGTGCGGGGAGGGGCCTACGTCAGAGCTTCAAATCCACATAGTGATTATATTCCTCGCACTGTGAGACGGTTCGGATAACAGAAAGAGATAATTCAGTCTAATGTATTCGCATATGTGCTATCATATTTAATACCTACTTTAATTCTATAAATAAAATTTCAAATACAGTAGTAGGCAGCGGCTTGGCTCTGCTCCTGGCATTGCTGAAGTCCATGGGCGACGGTAACCACTTACCATCAGGTGGGCCGTGCGCTCGTCTGCATATAAAGGCAATAAAAATAAAAATAAAATACAAAAATGGTACCTCAATACAATGACATGTTTTAAAATAGTCTTTTTTTATTTCAAAAAGCAAAACCGGCTTATACTTCTCGTCTGTTTAACATTTTTTTTCTAAGTAGCTGAGCTCGCGGGGCTCAAAGCTGACGTTGTTGCTAACACTGGCCCTAGCAAGAGCAGTGCTTCGCAGAATCTACCACCGGATCGGAAACGCGACCCACTGAGAAGATCCGGCGAGAAACTCAGCGGACTGTGTTTAGCTAAGCAAACACATTTACTTCCTTATTTACATCCATTACGTCCATTCGTATGAGAAGAGGTTACTGATAAGTACCTGCAGATAGATTTTCGAGAGCCGCTCCGAGTATCCTCGAGGGGTCGGAGAAGGAGCTCTCGTAGACGCCATCCTCGGTGACGTCAGCGGTCCGGTTGAGCAGGTTTTCCCTGGGTATCCTGTACTGGTTGAACATTATGAAACTGGAAACAGAAAGATTATACAGAATTAATTAACCACGAATTAATGCTGATAAACATAAAAGCATTAATTTTTATTACTTGCAACGCAAAATCCGATATCTATTTATATAATAAAAAAAATACATCTGTTTGTATGTCCTTGATGCGTTCCTAAGGCGTATGTCTGATCGTGACGCAGCCTGTTGATGTTCCGAACGGAACGGTTCAGTAGAACCGCCGCCGGGTGACGCACGGGTCTTTTTTTATTTTTTTATTGCTTAGATGGGTGGACGAGCTCACAACCTACCTGGTGTTAAGTGGTTACTGGAGCCCATAGACATCTATAACGTAAATGCGCCACCCACCTTGAGATAAAGTTCTAAGGTCTCAAGTATAGTTACAACGGCTGCCCCACCCTTCAAACCGAAACGCATTACTGCTTCACGCCAGAAATAGGCAGGGTGGTGGTACCTACCTGCGCAGACTCACGAGAGGTCCTACCACCAGTAAGAAGGTCGTTTCAAGAGATCGACACTTTCCATACACGTGATGTTCACAGTGGAGGACGATCGCCAGATTCGAGTCGCCTGAATCCTAAACTTTTTTCGAAGATGGCGCTGAAAAGATATCGGAGACGTGACACCAGTTACACTTACCCGTTATCGATTCCATTGACGCCGATTTTCTCGCCCATCTCCCCGACCACTAGCCCGGGGTAGGTCTCCAGCGTGGCCGGGTCCCTGATCGGCACCAGGAAGGCGTGCAGGCCGTGGCCGGCGCCGTCCGGCGTGATCAGCTGCGCGAACAGAAGCGTGTGCGTGCACGTCCTGCCTAGAAGCAACGGGCCTTAGATTCAATTCGATGAACAGTATAAGTCCCCCTCATGGAACTTCATACCCGATCCGTTGGACCGAATGGTAAACAGTCGACGTCGCCCTAAACACGTCATTACGGATCCTCCCGATCCATTAACGGTGCTTTTAGGTACCTCAAGCACCGGTCACGTCCTAAATTAACCCATAGACACAGCCCACTGAGTTTCTCGCCGGATTTTCTTAGCGAGCCGCGTTTCCGATCCGGTGGTAGATTCTGCGAAGCACTGCTCTTGCTAGGACCAGTGTTAGCAACACTCCCGGTTTTAACCCCCGTAAGCTCACCTACTAGTTCGGTGAATCCAGAATAACCCTTCGACGTTACTAGAATAGGTAGAAAAAAAAACATGGAACATTTTGTTTACGCTGTTCTATAGGGAAATAAAGGAAGGCAGCCAAAACGTCGGGAAGATGAAATATAGGATATGGCTGACCCACATTGGAGCCGAATGGCCAAAAAGTAGAGAATATTAGAAATCTTTAGAGGCCTTTGTCGAGAGACAGGCTGTTTTGAAAACCACACCGAACGCCGAACGTAAAACAGCAATAAAGGCTTATTTTTTTATTTTTTATAGAGAATTTGACGTAAAATCTGAAAACGCATGGGATGACGTTTGACGTATTAGTGGACAATGTTGAGTATGAGTGGACCACGCGTTTTCCCTATTAACTTTGAACTCATTTATCGAGTAGGCATTGATAAAAACTGTACTGTGTTATTACTGGTTGTAAGACGTCTTGTGAGTCCGCACGGGTTGGTACCACCACCCTGCTTATTTCTGCGGTGAAGCAGTAATGCGTTTCGGTTTGAAGGGTGGGGCAGCCGTTGTAACTATACTGAGACCTTAGAACTCATATCTCAAGGTGGGTGGCGGCATTTACGTTGTAGATGTCTATGGGCTCCGCTAACCACTTAACACAAGGTAGTATGTGAGCTTTTCCACCCGTCTAAGCAAAAAAAGAAACGTGAGCGTCTATTAAAAGCATTTTAAGTTACGAATATTTTCGCACGAAAATCCGCAGATCGACCAAGGTCAGCTCGTAATGCCATCGATAAAAGAAGCGTACTACAGGAATGTTTAAAGAATTACGTTATCGTTAAATTTAATATCGTTTACTGATATCGATTCGAGTGTCGTTTACGAGCCATTATAAGTTGTATTCCGACTAAGACAAAAAAAAATTTAAGGTACTTTATGACCTGGTAACTAAGACCTTTAGGTCAAGTCTTATTTTTTATTTATTTATATTCTTATTTTTATGAAAAATGATATTATGGAGTGGAATTAAATGAAATGAGATGAGATGATATGGGATGAAATATAATCTCAGTAAAATGGTGGTCATTTACTGAGACTTTTTCAGTGGACTTTTTGTAGGATCCTGAGAAGTTACGTCCAGCGGCTTTGTTTAATTTTCCCACATTTGTGCACACTAAGATATTAACGTCGTAAAAAAACAACATTATGTCGAATGTCATAGTTTAAAATATATTAAATAATACGAAATATATAAAATAATTTATATAACATAAATCGTTTGAATATTAAAACGAAGTTGTAGTTTCTTCAGTTACTTTTTTGGTTAGTTAATTATCATTCATAATATTCATTGAACGTTAAAACAATAAGATATTTTTATTTAATCTAAGCCATTATCATTAAATTTATATTCAGTATTCCTTTATGTTCGCTTGTTTCACGAGCACTCCCTCACCTTACAGGATGAAATAAATCGAATTGTCTTATATACAGATTTTATAGAGGAAAGATTTGTTTGTTTGTTTGTTTCGAATAGGCTCCGAAACTACTGGACCGATTTGAAAAATTCTTTTTCCATTAGAAGCCGACATTGTCGCTAATGAACATAGGCTACTTTTTTTATTTTTTTTTTAATTTTTATTTGTTTGTTTCATGTGTGTTTTAATGTTTCCGAAGCGAAGCGAGGGCGGGTCGCTAGTCTTATATACAGACATACATAAACGGCAGATATTATAGTATTGTAAATTAACTTTATTTTATCTGTATTGTATATAATTTTTCATGCATTCAATTTGGTGATTTTATTTGATGTTTGATTTTAAATCTTGATTTAAAAATTATAATTTTTTCATTACCGCTTTGTTTAGAGTAGACATGTAAGATGAAAAGTAAATAATCATATAATATAATGTTGATTTTAAATGAAAATTTCTTGGTTCCCGATACTAAGTGCGCGTCACAAATGATATGAGCCCATCTTTTTATTCCTTAAATATAAGTTCACAGCCCACCTAGCGGTAAGTGGTTACCGGAGCCCATAGATATCCACAACCTAAATGCCGCGCCACCCACCTTGAAACGCGAGTTCTAAGGTTTAATTGCAGATAGGAATTTAACAACGGACAACTTCCGATCATTAGGTAGTTAATAAAAAAAAAACAGCCAATAACATTGACAAAAACTCTTCAATTTAAACAGTTGAGCGCGTGTCCGTGCCGGCATGTCGGTTCGAAGGTTAGCTAAGCGGACTCGACTAACCCAGGGTCAGACTCATTTTTTAACAAACCCGTATATTGATTTCTATACTAATATTATAAAGAGGAAATATTTGTTTGTTTGGATTGCATAGGCTCCAAAACTACTAAACCGATTTGAAAAATTCTTTCACTGTTTGGAAGCTACACTGTTCCTGAGTAACATAGGCTATAATATTTTTGAAAAAAAATAGCGATCCTTACTAAAACTCCAATAATGTAACTCAAGGTGTAAAAAATTTACCTAACATATTTTTTACATCGCGTCCCCTGCGAAAACTATTGATGATAGAATAAAATGATGTACTACGACTTTGTAGAACACATTATTATTAAAAAAAATTGTCGCAACAGCATAAGTCAAATGTAGTTATGTCGCAATACGTGTTTTTTTATTTAAAAAAATAAAACAACGTCAAATATCGTTGAAATTTTTGTTAAAAACCCGAGCGGAGCCGGAGCGGGCCGCTAGTAAGTTATAAACTTGTACAGTTCGTAAATAACTAAACGTGTTATTTAACAAAATGAACGTAAAATTAAATAATTGAATAATTTAGCAAGAATTATAAAGTATAATTATTCGTTTTTTTTTGGACGCTGGAAATAGAGCGACTAGAGATTCTGTGACTACTACATTATGTAATTTCTTGGTTCCTTGTTGTCGAACACCGCAGTTAATATATTATTATCGTTCCTCTTAAATAATAATAAATTTTATAACTTTATACACAAAAACGGACAATCATTTAAGGTTTTTTTATATATTTTTTATTGCTTATTTGCGTCAACGAACTCATAGCCCACCTGGTGTTAAGTGGTTACCGGAGTCCATAGACATCTAAAACGTAAATGCCGCCATCTACCTTGAGATACAAGTTCTAAGGTCTCAGTATAGTTACAACGGCTGCCCCGCCCTTCAAGCCGATTACTGCTTCACGACAGAAATAGGCAGGGTGGTGGTGGCAGTACCCGTCCACCATTTCCCTTGACGTCCGTCACAAGGAAATGCATTTGTTATTCCCTATTATTAGTATAGATGTCACACAAGTTTTACCTAGATTACCGACCCAGCATTTAGCCGCCTCGAAGTCGGGAGTGTTGATGATGAACTGCTTCTGGTTGGGGTCGTATGTGGCGGTGGTGCGCATCAGCCGCGCGTCGGACCCGTGCGCTATCTCGGTCAGGGCGTAGCTTGCAAGGATCTGCATGATTCAAAACGTCACACATTTGAAACAAGTGGATTGTATCAAGAGATTCGAACTCCAACACAGACGCATCGCTAAATACGACTGCACCGGACGTCTTATACCGCAGGCTACGATGACTTCAAAACCATACACCTAATCTAGTTTTATTTATCTATGTAAACATTAATAATAATAAATTAATAATAGGTTGAGGAAAAAGTTTCTTCGCATATTTTAAGAAAAATCACAACATTTTTAAATACAATATTGTTCGATAACTTTTTGCCATCTTGTAAGTAGGGACATGATCCCATTGCTATAGAAATTTTGGGGTTTCTGATCCAAATACCGCGACAATTGATTTTGGAAGACCTCTCGTGATGTTAAACTGACACTGCACTAGGTCCATAAACATTGCAATTTTTTTCGCGGCTTGCGTTGCATTTTTACCTTTTTTGTAGTAAAATTTTATAAGACGTTGTCACGTCAAAATGCCTCCAAATTATAACTTACCCATTTTCTCCGATTTGAAATCGGTCAATAAATACGAAAATCTATCTGCCATTATAATATGTATTATTAATAAATAAATATTATATTATACTCGAAGTTTATCTTAATGTCTTACACTCTTCTATTAGCTTTCTACGTACCTAAGTGTGTTGATATGTACAATATTACGACGCAACACCACTATTTATTTAAGTAAAATTAGTTAATAGTTAACAGTTTCCTTAATGTTAAAATTATTGGTTAACTATTATAAGTGCAACGCATGTAAACAATTGTTTAAGAATTCATGAACAAACTACCCCCAGTTTGCATTCGGTAATTGTGACGTCATCATTTTCAAAAACAACATGGCGTCTTTGATCCTTCATGTATTACATGTGACAGCCTCTTTGAACGTGAATTTTATCGACTTCAAAACGTTCGCTTAGCTAGAAAATTTGCATACGTATCAAGGACCGATGACAAAACAGCAATTTTATAACTTCGCTCTGAAATCCTGGCCAGTAACAACAAGATAACACATCTATTGTTGGTTATTTCAGAAGTATAATTGGTGAACAGTGTTATTAATTCAAAGCAAACATTAGGTTGCAGTCAATATTTTGAAAATAAATAGTGTTGCAATTTCTGTGATAATTGTATGTTCTGTAGTGACACATGTTCTTGTCTCTTACGGATTGCCGATAACACATAATACAAGGAAATAGGGAAGACAAAAGACAAACGTCTTCAAAAATAAGTAAACGACATGGTTACTTATTTTTTAAATTTCTCTTGTCTGGTCTATCTCCTACAGCATACGCAGGTTACAATTCCCTTAGACATAAACATTCCCGGCCACTGTAATCGCCCACCGATGTTTACTGGTGGGTGGGCAATAACAAAACAAATACGTCGGTAAAGTCATAAAACATATACTCACTTCTCTGTTAAAGAAGACCGCTTCGTAAAACTTGAGATGTCTCTCCGTTCCTAATGAAAGAATGGCATTTGAGAACAGGTACATTCCTATGGCCATCTTGACTGATACGCTAGGGTTTAGCGACTGGATGGCTTCGTTTAGCGTCATAACTGCCCGCGTCTGTTGGTCAAATTTGGAAACAGCTGTTCAGAATATTATTTACATATAACCTATTTTATATCCAGTGAATATTACTGGTGGTAGGACCTCTTGTGAGTTCGCGCGGGTAGGTACCACCACCCTGCCTATTTCTGTCGTGAAGCAGTACCTAATGCGTTTCGGTTTGAAGGGTAGGGCGGCCGTTGTAACAATTCTTGAGACCTTAGAACTTATACCTCAAGGTGAGTGGCGCATTTACGTTGTAGATGTCTATGGGCTCCAGTAACCACTTCACACCAGGTGGGCTGTGAGCTCGTCCACCCCTCTAAGCAACAAAAATCATTTTAAAAAAAACCTATACGAATTACCAACTCACATTGACCGACATATCAAGGAACCAGCCAGATTACATTTACAATAATCATACCAATCCCTCTCCAATTTGACCGCCCGAAAACATGGACCACTTGATTAATATGACCTTCTTTCTGATGGTTTTCGAGCTGTAATTGACCTACGTATAGTGACCACTACGTCCCAGTACTCAACGACCCTGTTTATTGCGCCGCCCTTAATGCTAGAATAAATGTATTAATTTTGTTCAAATATTTTTATTTTAAATTTAAAATAACTTTATTTCCTTAGAATCCATTTGGGGATGCAAAAAATATTTGAATATGAAAAAAAAATGGGATATATATTTTTCAATAAAAAATATTTGTATTAATAATAATGTTCTGACGTTTGAATAGATACCAAAATGATATTTAATACATGCATATCTACAGTATTTTTATTTAACGCTAAAAACAAATTTGCGAAATTATTCAGATTTATTAAATATTTTATAATTATGATTAATTTCAGTAAAAAAACAAAAAGTAACGTACACCATTCGATATAGACTATAATTGATCTATTAAAAAAATATAACTTATTAACAGGTAAATAAAAAAATTAAATTATATATTTTATAGTTTTTTTTTTTTTTTAAACTTATTCTGAACCGTTTTCAAAGGTGGAAAAAGTACCGTAACAAAAAACTTCTTCAGCTATCTGGATGATGGATATAAGGAGTAGCTTAGGCTACTTTTTGTAAGACTGGCTTCGCCCCGCGGCGTCACCCGCGGTACGACAATAACCGCGGATAACATCGCGGGACTTAGCTATCAATAATAAAATTTAATTTTTCCGAAGCGAGGGCGGTTCGGTAGTATATAATATTACCGGAGGCTATAGACTCCACAGCGTGAATGTCGCCTCGTTGAGTCATGAGTTCGTAGATGTTCATCGTGGCCTAAAATTTAAGACTTCCGGTGCATTCGTAACTAACGATGCATAGGTGTTCGAATCTCGCAGGCAGGCACCAACTTTCAATTGAAATACGGACTTAACAAATGTTCACGATTGACTTCCACTGTGAAGGAATAACATCTTTTACACAAACACAATAAAATTATAATTTGCGTAATTACTGGGGTAGGACCTCTTGAGTCCGGACGGGTAGTTACCACCACCTAGTTAACCTAAATTACTCCTTATATCATCAGCTACCTATCAGTGAAAGTCTCTTCAAAATCGGTCGAGCCGTTCCAGAGATAAGCGGGAACAAACAGACAGACATTGTAAATAATGTTATTTGGTGTATGTACCGTATTCATATGCATGTAGTAAAAAGCGGTTATTTCAATATTACAAACAGACACTCATTTATTTAAATGTATAGATGTATAGATAACACAACGATGACGCGACCAACCGCATGACGCAAATATGACCATGACTTAAAATTTAAAAAAAACTGTTATACTTCTAAAATTATCCAACTAAAAAATTTATCATAATTTCACACAAGTATACATTAAAGATAACAGAATAGTACTTAAATATGTGTTATAGCAAATTCCTTAGAGATTGATTTTAAGGTTTCTGTTGTCTGCACGCGAATGATATTATATCATTATTATGTACTTCATACCGAATCGAGTTTGGGAACGATTTTATTTAAATTTAGGTTTTTACATTTTTTGGATTATCTATCTATATATATAAAAATGAATTGCTGTTCGTTAGTCTCGCTAAAGCTCGAGAACGGCTGGACCGATTTGGCTAATTTTGGTCTTGAATTATTTGTGGAAGTCCAGCGGAGGTTTAAAAGGTAGATAAATATGAAAATGCTCGGAATTAAATAAAAAAAAAACAATTTTGTTTTTCCTTTGATGTGTCCCCCGTCGGACAGATTCCTTTTGTTTGTTTTAAGTTTATTTTAAACAAAAGTTTAGGTCTTTTATTTATCGATTGAGGCACTACGAAGTCTGCCGGGTCAGCTAGTATTTAATAAACATTATTTTTACACACCAATTTAATCGGTGATAACGGTTTCAGGTTTATCAGTAGCACTCTGACGTCACCCACGTTACTCATTTCCTAGTAACAGTATTACTCATTGTAGATAAGTACGCTTCTGATCTTTACCGATCGATTTTTTGTTAATTAAAGATATCGTTTACGTGTTCGTACCGAATTATGGCACTAGTTACAAGGTTTCGAAGTGCCATTATCAGGCGCTCAATAATCATAAATCTTGCTATAGTCTCATGCGAATAAAAGGTTTATTAATCTAGTAGATGCTATTTATAATATAAAAATATTGAGATAGTGCCCATTAAAAAAAAATCTGCGGGATGTTTGGTTTTGTGAAGAAAAATATTTTCTTGTAATCGCGAAAATACTTTAAAGAGTCATGCCCAAAACACGACATTACGGATCCTACCGATCCATTAACGGTGCTTTTAGGTACCTCAAGCACTGGTCACCGTCCTCTCCGAACCCGTCGCTTGTGACGAAGGTCTCGACGAGTAAATTAACCCATAGACACAGCCCACTGAGTTTCTCGCCGGATCTTCACAGTGGGTCGCGATCCGGTGGTAGATTCTGTGAAGCACAGCTTTTCCCAGGGCGAGTCTTAGCAACACTCCGGTTTGAGCCCCGTGAGCTCACCTACACGTCAAGGAGAAGCTCAAATAGCTTCTCAAGGCTATCAGCACAGGTAGGGATAAAAAAGAGCCATTCCGAATTACATAAATATAATTGAAGATTTGAAAAAGTACATAAAAATGAATTAGCTCGTTTAGGACGAGGAAGTGGATTTTTTTTCTAAGAGTTAAGTGTTGGTAGGGAAATGTTAGGAAATCGCGTGTGAAGCCTACTTCTGCAGCGAGATAGACATGCATGTAAAAAGATGCTTTTCGATTTGGAGGCTAGTCGTCGGCTAGAGGCCGTCGTAACTTATCCATTGAGACTTCCTATTCCCGGCACGTAAGCCAAAAAAGAGAATCAATCTCCGAATGAGAGATAATAAACTATAAACATGGATAAACTTGTATTCAAGTATTCTCAAAGTTTTGCAGGCTATTTATGTTTTTAATGTTGTCAGAACTGGAAAAAGAATAAGTTAATTGACTCACTTCAGAGCTCCTTGATCCTCGACTTCTGATTTTTCACACTTGGGAGAGTTATGCAGATTGATCAACATTTCACAAATTTTCCTTTTTGGCACTGATTTAGTTTGTTTTACCGCCATTTTTTGTTTTTAATTTTTTCTTACTTAATTTACACGTACTTAATTTACTTGCAACAGGTGCGTGCATAGAAGAAGGAATCAGGAAAAGGAAGTCTTAACGGGTCTAACTAAGTATTCGGAATATGTTTGTATTTTGATACTACTTTTGCCAGCTTTTTTAAGGAAATTGCTTGATTGGGCACGTCCAATCATAATTATGTGCCTTTCTATATCTTTTACTTTGACTGCAATTCGTTTTGATTCATCAATAACTGTTTCAATGATGCCATAGAGCAGACGATGTTTTGTATTATGTGACCTTGCATTATGTAAAACTAAGAGCTGATTGCTGTTCACGCTGACTGAAAAATGACTAAGCATATTTAAAAAAAGGTGAAACACCGTTTTCGAATTATACTCTACAACAGCAGGTCATGAATATCACGGAAAGCAAGGTCCAAGCAAGAAAAACTATTTTATCGCCTTTTATATCTTACTAGCGACCCGCCCTCGCTTCGCTTCGGAAACATTAAAACACACATGAAACCAAAAAAAAAATAAAAAAATAAAAAAAAAAGTAGCCTATGTTCATCAGGGACAATGTCGGCTTCTAATGCAAAAAGAATTTTTCAAATCGGTCCAGTAGTTTCGGAGCCTATTCGAAACAAACAAACAAACAAATCTTTCCTCTTTATAATATTAGTATAGAAGAAACCGAATCGTGAGTGCACCGGGCTTATCAACGCATTATTGTCAACAAAGAAGTGGTATTTTTGAGGTATGATACCTAATTTCGCTTAAGACTTATACAGAGAACAAAATACTACATCTTTGGTTTTCCCTACCTATTCGCTGGTAGCTTAAGAGGCTATCCCAGCTACGCCCGGACGGGTAGGTGAGCTCACGGGCTCAACCTGAGAGAATTTGCTAACACTAACCCTAGCGAGAGATCGGTATCGCGATCCACTGAGAAGATCCTGCGAGAAACTCAGTGGGCTGTATCTATGGGTTAGTTCGCTCGTCGAACTCTTCATCGTAATCGACGAAAAGTTCGATAAAAAACGAACGATTTATGTTTTTATTCGAAACATAAAAAATAATATAATGACAATTAAAAAAAAAACAGTTCAAAGCGTAGTTTTCATTTTACCTTCCGTGAATCCACAACACAAGGCAGAGGAGGTTATAATTCACCGCATGCTTCGATAACATCATTTGTAAGTCATTTAATATTTAATCATATTTATTACATAATCAAAGCGTTTTAGTACTAATATTTGAGGAGGCTGAGGAGGGTGCGAAGGCAGGTAATGTTTCCAGAATAATTTTGATACACCCTGTATGTAACAAATTACACACGTAATCAGAGATAGCGATCTATTATGTATAAAAACTCGTATTTATATAACAATAAATAATTATCGGCATTTGGCCAATGACCTACTTTGCTTATCGTCGCGTACATTTTTTTTTTTTATTCGTGTTACACTACGTGCGAAAAAAATTGTCCCGAACGAATTTTGCGATAATTTTATATTGGAATTCTGTAAACTAAACTATAAAAAGTTTAAGTGCTGAAAAATGTTCCAATGATAGTATTAAGGGCGGGACAAGACAGAGTTTGCTTTTTCTGACAATCTCTTTTATAAAGTAGTCTTTAATTTAATTATTTTTAATGTAATCTCTCCCTCCTCTCCTCCTCTAACCTCTGTAAATTTCCAAGATTGGTGACAAGTAAGCAATAACTTACCCTTTTGCTGTATCCACCTTTGAGTGAAACTTTGGGTATAAAATTGTATTCATTTATTTTGTTTAACTGCAATTGTGCTATCCTTTTCTGTTCCTCGACACTCGGCGTGACAGACTTGTGTGCGAATAACGGATCCTTCTCCAGTGTGTGCCATATTTTGTACTAAAACAAAATAGGTATATTCATAACAAAAACATTAAATCAGTTTTTACTGTTGGTAGAACCTCTTGTGAGTCCGAGCGGGTAGGTACCACCACTCTGCCTATTTCTGCCGTGAAGCAGTAATGAGTTTCGGTTTGAAGGGTGGGGCAGGCGTTATAGCCATACCTTAAGACCTTAGAACTCATATCTCAAGGTAGGTGGCGGCATTTACTGTGTAGATGTCTATGGCCTCCGGTAACCGCTTAACACCAGGTGGGCCGTGAGCACGTCCACCAACCTAAGCAACAAAAAAAAAAGTTACTAATTTTCTCCCTTATCTTAAGTTCTCTTGCAAGTTATACATCATTTGGATTTTCTATATTTTGTTGTTCTTTATTTCAAAATCTAAGAAATTATAAAATAACTAAGTGTGATCTGAAATTTATCCAGCATCAACATTACATTGTTATTTTCTGGAATAGGACAGAGATGTGAATGGATTTAAGATAGATGAAGCTCATATTATTTAATTCACAATAAAAATCTTCAGTGCACATATTCTATAGTATCCAAGCAGCAGAAATAAACAAATCACATTCTAATAACATTTAGAAAGAAAGATAAAAAAGAAGAGGCATTGTTGGTAGGGCATATTGAGGGCATGTACAGATGATCTTGACAATTTGACCTATTTCTGCTTTAGAGAATACAATTCTATTTCAATGATCGATTGAACAATATACGGTACCCTGAATACTTAACAAAATGCTTAGCTTCAAATAGAAGGTAAAATAAATAGGTAATAATAAAATGAACTCCACTTGGCTAAGCCCTGTAGTTTTCAGTATTTACAGAAATTCATAATAATTCGAGAATAAAAACTTTGTACATAATAATAATTATAATAAAATGAGTGTCATGGTATTTTTTTTTTTTTTTATTGCTCAGATGGGTGGACGAGCTCACAGCCCACCTGGTGTTAAGTGGTTACTAGAGCCCATAGACATCTACAACGTAAATGCGCCACCCACCTTGAGATATAAGTTCTAAGGGTCTCAGTATAGTTACAACGGCTGCCCCACCCTTCAAACCGAAACGCATTACTGCTTCACGGCAGAAATAGATGTTGAATGCCAAGGATCTGCATAACCCAGAGATACACAACCTTAGGGAAATGTATCAAGATGTTGTTACAGTTGATAAGGAACTAACTACATTACCCTTAGGAATTGGAAGAGACCGAACGCGGAGAGTATTTTGGATCATATAGCCGCATGGAGGAGCAAGGAGTTACGTTGTAGGTTCTACTGGGTTTTCAAAGGGCCTGATATAGACCAATTAGCTTCTGTAGCCTGGTTACAATTCAGTAAACTCTTTGAGGAAACTGAAGGTATTATTTTGGCAATTATGGATGAAGTTATCATGATTAACAACTACAGGAAATATATAATATGAGGACACATGGAGGAGGCATGCTACCATCTTTGAGAGTCTATTAGACTTATTGTTTCTGGTTGTTCTCGTTTTGCTAATGGTGAGTACTTGCATAGACATAACAAAGTATTATATATTTGCTGTTCCATATTACCCCAATACCAACCTCAACCATTTCTTGAAAATGGTCATATTACATTCTACTGGGACCGATCTATTAACACTGATACGTATATTGTTGCAAATATGCAATAATACCAGTGATAGCATAGTATCAGTGTGATAATAGATTGGTCTGTGCCTTGAGCAGTGTTGGTCGATATTACCATTCCTCATGAAGAGAGCCTCGTGATGGCAGAAAAGGACAAATTAATAAAATATTTAGGAGACTACCACCATGTAGCATGTTGATTCAACCATCGTTGTTCTAATACTTCTGTCGGTACAATGTTATCCAGCTGGGTTAGGAGTCTGATACAGAAGGCTATTATCCTTGATACTGCTCATATTGGGCGGAGGTTTCTCACTCTGTAGTCCTAACCACTGGTGGCTTGTGTCGTAGACACCACTATCAGCAGCAATCTATTTTTTACAGTACATTTCATAAGTTATTAACAAATATAATGTAAATAATGATACTAAGAGAACAAGTCACACACTGTCATTTATGGCCAAACTAGAATTCCCTGTAATATGAATAAGAACCAGATATTGATATACATACTTATTTACAATTTCATAAATATAATATGCATATATAAATATTAAACACTTTAACTAAATTAACTGATTGTGGGAATAGAAAGAATAATTTCATTAAAAACTTTTATTACCCATTGAATATTTAATATTAATGACTGCATTGTTTAGAATGATTATTATTATACAGTATATCATTATACTGTTTTTATAAACTATTTTTAGTATTTTTTCTGTTAAGTTATTTTTAACCTGCATAAATTTCTGTAATGAGTAGTTGATCATTCATTAAACTTTTTTATTCACATGTATAGCCAATTCAATTTAAGGTTATGAAATGGACTGTTTTGGTGGAAACACAATTATAGCATAGAGGAAATTAAATTAAATATTTCGCAATATTATCGTCATTATGATCATCAGCCCACAATTATCAACTTCTGAATTTACATCAGCGAGCCATCTTCATCTCTCCTGTATCATTTTGGTTTACATACATAAAATTTGGTGTGAAAAGTATTAAAGCTACAAAGCATGTCGAAACTCTGTGCCTGTAACATGTCTCATGCATGGTCTATGTGCATGGGACAAGCTTACCTTCAGTCTTAATAGATCGATGTCTCCTTCCATAGCTAATTTAAGGCGTTTCCAATCGAATGATGCCTTTTTTCTGTATACATCCAGAGGTCCGCTGGGAAGATCAGGTATGAAACTCAAATCCTCCATACTACAAATCATACACAAAAATTCAATGAGTATACGCATTCTGTAAAATAAAATTTAATAGATACGCGCGATTTATGACACCGGATGATCAAATCTATACGAGGACAATTCAAATTCCCTCGCAGACCAAATTTATGAGGCATCGCGACCCGTGAAAACTTTACAATAAATAATAATGAACATCTCACCTCGAAATTTAAAGAGATTTTTCTTATTAAAAATCAGCAATCTCGCCGCTTTGTGAAGACTGACAATCGGGGAGATGAAATCACTTTTAAAAGTTTTAAATTAGTAACGTCTGTTATCATCAATACTAAACATCGTTTTATTAAGTTTTCGTGGGCGGTCCTAAATATACCCTCTCTTCGTTCTTCATTGCGATACGTCACTTCGGGTGAGGTTTATTGTCAATTTGACATTAGTTTTTGTTTATTTTTTGTAACATAGGCAAATGGAACATGGACAGTGCAAGGTCTGGAAAGCGTTTTGTATTGCAAACTATTGTTATTTAAATTCAGACATATTTCGGATGAAAAGTGAAAACGAATTGTAGCTATCGTGACCTAAAAATGATGCACTCATATCGAGTAATACAACTATGTCACTTTTAATTCCGATTGGCCGATACTAATATCTCTATTGAAATACTTAACGCGTGGTCACAAACGACTTCAACGGTGAAGGAAAAGCACCGTCTTAGAAAATAATAAACATAAATAATATAAAATCTACTCCAAAAACTATGAGCAGCTACATTTTTTCTTAAAATTCACATCTTAAAAGATACGTTTGTTTTTGTAAACCATTTGGAACTGATTATTAATTTAGCTATTGCAACTTGTAGCAATTGTGGTTTCCCTAATGCACTTGGTAAAAAAAATTGCAAAAATTAAATTTTAAGGTTCGTATGAATCTTATGAAATCCTTGGTACACAAAATGAAAATTAAGATTAAAATATTACAAAAAATTTATTTCATTCTCCTTTCTGATATTTTATTATAACAATAACAATACTACTATAACAATAAAAATTTAAATAGTATAAGGTATAGAACGCGTGTAGTTGGCGTTTATTTTGTCTTCTATTATTAAGGAATTGTTACAAAGAAAAAACTATTTAATGTCAAGTAACGTTCGATTTACAGGCCATTTTTTCAACATCATTAAAAAAATAATTGATGGAGGCATGTAGGAGCGCAGTATGGAAAAAAAAATTCATTTTGTTGTTTTAAATCTAGTGTTTGTCTTTTTTTCAATTGCTAAGATGGATGGACGAGCTCACGGCCCATATGGTGTTAAGTGGTTACCGGAGCCCATAGACATCTACAAAGTAAATGCCGCCAACCACCTAGAGACGAGTTGTAAGGTCACTTTTAACAGTACAAAGGCTGGCTCACTCTTCAAACCGAAACGCATTACAGCTTCGCGGCAGAAAACTGCCAGGGTATTGGTACCTACCCGTGCGGACTCACAAGACGTCCTACCACCAGTGATTACGCAAATTATAATTTTGCGGGTTTTTATTACACGATGTTATTCCTTCACCGTGGAAGTCAATCGTGAACATTTGTTAAGTACGTATTTCTTCGGAAAAATTAGTACCTACCGGCATGATTCGAACCGGCGACGCGGCGATGACTTCAACCTAGTCTGACCTTATGATACTTACTGTAAAATATATCTGTGTGCAACGAACCGTCAATGTCATTATGAAGGAGTACTTGGGACTTTTTGGCGGGAACGCGAGGTGTGAAGTTGTGTGATTTGTTTTATTTTGTCTATTTAGTATTTCTTTAGGTTTAAATATGTAATAACTCATTATAGTATTTATTAACTGTTTGGTATCTGTGAAAGTGGACAAATGTGGGAAAATGAAACAAAGCCGCCGGATGCTGGACGTAACTTCTCGGGATCCTCCAAAAAGTCCACTGAGAAAGTCTCAGTAAATGCCCACCATTTTACTGAGATTATATTTCATCGCCTATCATCTCATCTCATTTCATTTCATGCCAAGTTTCATAATATTAATCAACTTCATTTCATTTCACTTCATATTAGCATTTGCAGAGTTAGGTACTTAACATATTAATCAAATTACTTTCTCAACCTAATTGAATACCAACCCACGCTGATAATTTAATTCATACTTACACTGATATTAATAATGGCTAATATCGACAGTTTCCTTCGTTTTTTATTATTCATACACTGTAAATAATTAAAACAATGATTAAAACGGCGAATAATAAAAATCTTATTACTTGACACTGGCTAATGTACAAACCGTGCCGGAGACAAAAAAAAGAGAAGAAAGGGTGGCGCGACATTTAATTTCCGATTTTTGCATCAAAACAATTTTTCTTTAGTGCCGATAAAACATAGAAATTCTAAAAAAAAAACAAAAACTTAACAAGAGGAAACTAATACATATGTAACATTTTTAATCATCAGTCTTTCCGAATATGGTTCGTATCGTAACGTGGTTTCTCACTCTAGAGCCCTAACCATACTATTTTCTTATTATTTTTCAAAATTGCTTTTAATTTCTTTCAGTACCTAACAGAAAAAGTTCGCATCGCTTAGTGTAAGCGCATGCTGTGAATTATATTAATCTGTTCGAAATGATGACGGATGCAATGCCGGAAATTTTATTATATAAAATAACGAAATTTATTTTGAAAGGTACCTTATTTCATTCTGCTGAACAGACAGGAACAAAGGTCTCAGAAGAATTTAAAAAAAAGGATGTAAATTCACTTTTTTTTTTATTGCTTAGATAGGTGGACGAGCTCACAGCCCACCTGGTGTTCAGTGGTTACTGGAGTCCATAGACATCTACAACGTAAATGCGCCACCCACCTGAGATATAAGTTCTAAGGTCCCAGTATAGTTACAACGGCTGCCCTACCCTTCAGACCGAAGGCGGTACCTACCCGCGCGGACTCCCAAGAGGTCCTACCGCCAGTAAAAAATTCAATCACATTCGAGAATGTTTACATACGTCCGTTACGTACTTGTTCCACGTAAGATTGCAATCTATAAATACCTAGCCTATATTTATGACCAACGCTGGACATCCTACCGTGACCAAATAAGTGTAAGTAGTAATATTGTCGTGGCTTTTTCTATGATCAGAGCTATTTTCGAGAATAGGTGCAGGATATCCAAAATTAAAGAAGATTGTGCATGTACTTGCCAGCTAACGAACAAGGACTCAGTCTTAGACAAGATGAATAGAAACATAAGAGAGCCGGGGAGATTGGACGCTACCGTGAAGAGCTGCCGGTTGACGGTCTGGTATGACGGTTAGGGGAAGGGCTAAGCCAGACATTTTCCGAGGAGAAGGTGTAGATTTCGTCCGTTCCTTTCGTTTTGTCATGTTTCATAGTGAGTGAAGATTTTCACATTTTAATGTCTCTCTATTCTGGTGGCAGCTTCGTTCGACTCTTCACAAGTCACGTCGCAAGCGTTGGTTGCAAATGTCATTGACACTACGATGGGGTGATGCCTAGTTTGAATTCTGTCAGTTCCCAGGTCTGCCAGTGCCGTGCAACAGTTGACGTGATGCTGCCACGTCAGAGATAAAGATGGCCGCGACCGATTTATATGTTGTGGCTTGTTATGGCCTATGGGAGCGTAACGAAACGGTATAGGTTTGTTAAAATGTTACCTATCCCCACCATGGTACTGAGACGGCCGTGTACCTTCCGGATTCTGGTGTCGGCCTATAATGTCTGTTCCTGTGGGTGTCGTAAAAGGCGACTAAGGCATTCCACTCCATACAAATTTGAGTTAACTTTTACGCTATCGAGGACGTCAAAAAACTCTCACTAAGCACACGGAAGAGCCGATGAGAGCTCGTTCAATGTTAAGCAACCAAAAATGATTATTTTACTTCTTTATTACTTTTAACAATTTAATAGTTTTATCGATTCTAGTCAAGTAATTAGTGCGTGAAACTTAACAAAGCTAACGACCGAAGCTTTGAAGTCAGGTCATGTATAACACCATATTAATACATAAAATATAGTACCTACTTTTTAAACGTCTTCGATATGCTGACACACATTTAATACGATTTTATAACAGTATAATAGTGAAATTCGACCACTTACGCTGATATCATCGCTGAATATAATAATATGAAATGCAACGATTTGTTGGAATAACTCGCTCGCCACATTTGGAGTGATGGTTGATATTATGATAGAAATTTTCGCTATGAAGCCAATTGAGAGAGATATCAGCTTCGGTTTTAGTCTTAATTAGTTGGCTTAATTTATGCAAGTAAAAAAGATTAGTTACAAAGAAAATTAGAGTAAAAAAAACGGATTTTGAATACTCTCCCTTCTTTCAGGCTGATGAAATAAATCGGACTAGTTTGTTCTAATAAGAGTTAATGTTCTAAATGTAATGGAACCCATTTGTGGTGTAAGTTATTTTTGTTGAATGATCTATCTTTTTTGAGATTTTATTTAGGTTTATCAAGGGTTTTCGTGATGCACGAAGAGGTTTCGAAAACACTTAAATTTATATAAAAATGGATTAGACCTAAAATCGCAATTACTTTATCTAACTTAGCGCCATCTATAAGAAACTAAAGGTGAGAAAATGTTTCCCTCAAATATTTCGAAGCTCAACGAGAAACGAAGCAGCGCAGCACCGCGTCCATCCAAAAATAAATTTACAATTCGTCAACAGATGGCAGTGCGCCCAGTAATTTACTGAACTGCGTGACAAAGATGGCCTAATATTGAAGTGTGTGCAAAAAAAAGAGATGGCGAATTTTCAACACATTGAAAGTTAAACTACTACATGAAGAGTGAAGTACAGCCAAATGAAAAACAACTAAAGAGAAGTTGTAAAACAACAAACTGAGCGCACAGTTTCTATTCTATCAGATGTAAAATGGACGGGCGGCTGTTCTGTCGTGCGCTCGTGGGCTCCGCGTGTTTGTTGTAATATCGAAGTTTATTTATTGTTTTATGTTTTGACGTGTTTACGAATATTGTTTACGCGATTGTACGACTACTTCGGTGTACGGTTGCCGAAGGAGATTGTGTATAGTGCATGTGTTTTAATTTCATATGACGTTAGCGCTCACTTCACTTGCAGTGATTTCGCTGATAGCTCACTCACCGGTGGGTGTGCGCGTGATAAACTACGTGTTCGATTTCGAAAAAGGGCGAGAAATCGTCAAGTGTTTGTGTTCAACCGTACCATGATGGTGTGCACGGTGACATAGTGAACGTTGAATGACCCTGACCTCTGACAATCATGTCTGGGCGATCGGATTGCAGGAAATTTGCACCTAACATCTTCAATAAGAGCAAGTGTAC